GCAGCAATCGAGCGTATGGGTCTTTCGAGATGAGCCGAAACCAACCTACGTGGCGCGCGTGCAAAGTATCTCTAAGCGGATGATTGCTTCTTTTTTTAATAAATCTGGATACAGAAGCGGGAAAATTGTTTTACTAGATCAAATGGTTTAGATATTTACTATTAAACAATGGTCTTACAAAAAATATATTATGTACATAAGGATATTGTCTAAAGAATGTGCTAATGTGTTACACGATAGGATGTACTTTGTCCCATCATCCGATTATCCGAAAACAGGCTTAAAACGAGTTATTTAAAAATAAAATATATAACTTAGTACATAATTTTTATATGCAAATGTTTCTCTTAAATTAAATTCAAAATTCAAAATATTTATTTCAGATAACAAAGATCCATTTACTTTGGTGTTAGAAGTAATAAAATTAACTTATAAGCTATTGTTAGTAGGAATATTATAAAACATATTACTCAATTAAATAAGATCTAAAATGTCATGTACTTACGAGGCATCTCGTGCGGAATCATTGTCCGTACGAGTCCTCTGCCACAACCTTCAGAGGGTTGTTGTTACTCCCCCGAAGTTTAACCGAAGCCCTATTAGTTATTAAATTCACGTTAATCCCAAAATTTGCAAATTACCCGGCGGTTTAACGACACGCCGCGCCGCCCGCTGCCCCGTCTGTCGCCATCGGGCGTTGGTCGACGACGGACATGTGTCAAATTTTCTCAGTCTGTTCTTATTTTACTCATATTAATCATACTTCACCTCTTAAAATGTAAACTCGCGTTGAAATAACTCACCTTAAGTCATAGAAATACGCGGCGGAATGCCATTATAAGATAATTGCATTGTCGCTTCAAATTGATTTATATATAGAAAAAATATAAATTATTTATTCCTTTAAAAAAAACAACGCAATAACATAAAGATTTAGACAAAGAACTAAATTACAAATATGTGCTGTGCTGCTAAAGAAACCGTGACCCACATACCGTCTTATCGTCTCACCTACAGTACCTACGCTGATTCTCAGTGGATCCGGCAACAGAACACACGTGATACGGACATTGTAGTCGTCACAGATTCACACTAAAAACATTGCACGAAACAAGCAGTCATATTACTATAAACACAAACATGATCGCATAGACTCTTCCATAATATAGTATAACAGTTGCAGTACCACTCAAGAGCTTTAAATCGCAAAGATCCGAAGGGCACTGTCACTGCGCCCGTCACTCGGAGACATAAATTCTCATGTGCCTGTAATTTCACCAGCACCCTTACCCTTCTAAACCGGAACACAGTAATGCTGACATTACTGCTTGGCGGCAGAAATAAGGAAGGTGGCAGTTCCTCCCTAGACGAACTCTTTCACAAGATCTACTGCTACTAAAATGCATGACTTAAAACGTATTTTACTACATAATTAATACTATATAACTTGTATAAAGCTAACTGTCAGCTTTCAGACAGAATTCAGAATAATAATACGCTCAGCACACTGAGATTAGGCGACTCCTGTTCCCCTGTGTTCCTTTACAAAATTCACGTCTGAGATAGCTTTTATGTGAATGTGGTTTGGATCAGGGTATCCTTGGTCACATTTTTTTAATGTCCTAAGTTGATTTATTCCTTGTATGACCTCCTTGTACGGTCCCCGTTCTATTTACGTTAAGTCCCTTCTTTTTTATGTGTATTCTCCTTTTATTAACTTTTTGTGTGATTTTATATGTTCTAGCTTCTTGTTTGTCCCTAATTGTTTTTTTCACCCAGGTATGATCTCCTCAACAGCAGTCCGTCGAAGAAGTTCTTCCAAAAATGTAGGCCATTTATTGGTGATCATACTATCACGTTATACTGATATGACATGTAAGAATTGTTTGTGTTGGTGGTCATATTTAGTCAGCAGTAACAGCTTGTAGGCACATTTTGCTTGACTTTAATAATAAAGTATAACCTCGTTCGATTTACGTCGAATTCTTTTTTTTAACCGACTTCAAAAAAAGGAGGTTCTCAATTTGTATGTATGTTACGCGATAACTCCGCCATTTGTGAACCAATTTTAATGATTCTTTTTTTGATGGAAAAAAGGTACCTCAGATGTGGTCCCATTTAAATTTCAAGAAAATATTCCACCTCTAAGGGTGGCAAACTAGGGGATGAATGACTTTTGAGGTCGGTTTTATAACCGGAGGTTAGGTTATTTATAATATCAAGTGACGGGACGAACAAGTTGTGCGCCTGGTGGTAAGCTACACGCCTGTCCATTACACTTGCAGTGCCACTCAGAGCTTTAAATCGCAAAGATTTGAGAGGCACTGCCACTGCGCTCGTCATCTTGAGACATAAGTTGACAAGTCTAATGTGCCTGTAATTTCGACAGCAATTATTTGTTATGAGAAAAACTTGGATGATAAATTAAATATAACCTTTGTTTTATATTTTGAGCGAGGTTGTACTTAATTAAAGACTAAATATGACCACCAATACAAACAATTCTTATTGGTCATATCAGTATGACACGCTTGTAGGTTCACCAATAAACGGCCAAAATAAAAACCTTGCTGCTGCCTAAACGTTAGCGTTCTTGATCAATATTAACTGACAACATCGTAACTGACACTGCCCAAGCCTAGTGGCCGCCATTAAGGCAATAATAATAATGTTATGATTTTATTTTAGTTCAATCGAAATATAGCTATTGTGATATTCCGTGATACGGGCTAGGTCATAGGTTCCCAAACTTATTGACTCGCCGCCCACTTAGGCAAGACAAAAAAAATTCAAAGCCTGCATAAACTTAAAACAAAAAATCACAAGGAAAAAAAAATATATACAGGGTGGAACAGGTCGACAGACGAAGCCGAAAAATGTAAAGAGTCTTAAATATGTACTTAATACCACTGAAAGTCTTTTTGTTCTAAGTATAATAGTTTACGAGTTTGTTATAATTATTAATACAAAGATCGAACACTCAGAAAAAATCCTACGATCCGGTCGGATTCGAACCGACGTCTTCTTGCATACCGTGGCAGACGCCATACCAACTAAGCCACGGAACGAACCAACGGACTTCACGAATTTTTCTATGTGCTTGCGTCGTGTCTTTGTACTTGGTCTTTCAACGACTTTTTAGTCGTAGCGCCATCTATGAGAAATCTATTGCAGATTTATCACCCAGTTATTACCTTTACAGCTACCAGTCCTGGCGAGAGATGTCGCTATTCACTGTATTAATTAATTTTTTTTTGTTGAATTGATATTCGATTATTTTTTGTGAAATTACTCCACTAGTTTGTTATAATTATTAATACAAAGATCGAACACTCAGAAAAAATTCCTTCCATCCGGCCGGATTCGAACCGACGTGCTTGTTCAATGATAAAGATTGGCTTGAAAAGTCTGTGTTGTCAACCCTACAAACAGCCGTTGGAGGCAACTACCGGGAGGTACTAAGTGGAGGAGGTAATGCCGCCGATATCAATAGAATCTTTGTCCTGCAGAAACGTGCAGTTAGGGCAATTTACAATCTGGGCCCCAAAGTATCTTTGAGAGATAAGTTTAAGGAAATTAACATTCTTACACTAGCCTCACAGTACATTTATGAAAATGTAATTTATGTTAAAAGGAATAGTAATTTCTTTATGACAAAACAGTGACAGACATAACATTAATACAAGGAATAGAAATAAACTAGCATTTCTTGATAGTCGTCTTCACAAAGTCAAAAAATCATTTAAGGGGCAATGTATACGCTTCTACAACAAGATTCCGGTTGATATACAAAATTTGCCTTTCACGAGGTTTAAAACTACAGTGAAACAAAAACTTTATACTAAAGGTTATTATACAACTTCTGCATAATTTGGATGACAAAAATCCGTAGTAGTAACCCGCTTAGCTCATGGAGGTAGTCTCGTTCTTTGATGTTTCAAAAAAAAAATATTGTAAATGTTATTTACAAAGAGCAACCCCTAGAGTTTCTTGCTCATTCTTCTCAGGGGAATCTGCCTTACGAATGAGCGGTAGAGTTTAACCATTGTGACGATTTCAAGTATAATAATGCTTACCTATGAAATAAAGATTATTTTGAATTTGAATTTGAGGTAGTCGTTGACCTCTGCCGTTGACCAGCGTGCCGTCAGTCGCTTTCTTTGATCAATCATCATATGAATGATGATTAATTACGCGGGTATTTTATTGTATTACTTTGAGAGTAATTAACACCCCTAAATTCCGTGTTTGACGACCCAATATTTGCATTTACCGAAAAAGTGCACCTCTCATAGAATCTTCGGGAGACATGTTGTTTCTAAACTATGCGTTGTCATAAACTACCCGCACCAACTTAAGAAAAGTAAAGTTCAACATGCTCAACATGCGTCAAGTAGGTACTCAAATCACACAAGCCTCGTAACCCTTAATTCGGCTCTAACGTAAAACAGTAAAATTAGGCAACCAATCACGTGACTTATCACTGCTTATTTGTTTGATTTTTTAATGATTTATTAATTTTGAAAGTTCTTTTTAATGAGATCAACATTTAAAACTACATTTTCTGTTAACTTGAGCAGAGTAGTTGAAATTTTAATATAAAAATGTAATGTAAAAATAAATAAATCGGTTCAGAACACCTCCACGGTTCGTTATCTTATTTTTGAGTATCGATTATGGAATTGCTAAATTTGATTATTTATCATTACTTTTTCTTTTGAATTGCTCATGGTACTTATACCAGACGAGACGTTTATTGCGAAACCTATTTCTTTATCATAATTTGTCTTTCTAAAATTGACATTTAGATATTTAATAATCAACGATATCCGACGCGTACGCCGCCGCCGCGCATCTCTATACGGAGTTGCCAACTAAGCGAGTTTGTCCCTTTTTGGGACATTTTGACATCAAAATGAAATAAAGATGAATCTATGGGCTAGGATATGTAGACCTAAGGAACTAAAGATAAAATAAGGAAATATGATCATTAAACTTACCTGTGAGTCTCGCAAATCTGGTTCGCTAGCGGCGGCTGACAGCGATTCATCTGCGCCGGCACCGCCGCTACTGGCATCGCCGCTGCACACGTCGCCAGCGCTAGCGCTGAACGCTCGCCTGCGCGCCTCCTGCTTCTCTTTATCCTTCTCTTTACCCGTCAGTATGTGTCGAGTTTTCATTAGAATGTTTAGGGGTTTCATTGATTTACGAACCTGCAAAACACAATATTTTTAATATTTGAAGTTGAAAATCATTGTCATCAACTCGTTATTACTAGGTTTACCATCCTGGCAAAATTGTTGGACTGTTCACAATCATTGTGAAGAATGTTTAAAACAACATAATAATACACATTATTTATTTATTAACCTATATTATACTGACAATTAGATTATATTCATAAATTATGTAATCTATAGCATCAGCGCATCCTGAAGGCGCATAGGTCCCAGCTCTATCCATCTGGCTCTGTCTCTTGTCAGCCTAGTCCATAGAGGTCCAGCTATTTTTTGAAAGTCATCGGACCATCTTCTAAATGGACAATTCTGGAGGACATTCTGTTACCTTTCTGGTCCACGTTTCTATTCTTTCCCTGTACATGTGGCCAGTCCTTTTTGTGGTGACATCCTCCAATTTAGTAGTCCTACGTATGTCTGTAGCTCTCTTTATGTCTCTTAGAAAGAATCCCAGCATACTTCTCTCCATTCTTCTTTGACAGGTTGTGAGTTTCTGATGGTATTTATTAGTCAGTGCCCGCGTTTGGCATCTATAGGTCCGAAATTGGGAGGATGCAGATGTAAAAGACCTCTCTCTGTGCTTGTTTTTGAATATGTCTTTGAATGACCAATATCGGTTCCAAGAGTTGGTAACTCTTCTTTCTAGTTCTTGCTCAGTTTCATCACTAAATGACACTTATTGGCCCAGATAATACACATTAATGTTTAATAATTAATTTTATAAATAATAAAATAAAATATAAAAACTTTTTCATTTTAAAAAAAAACCGACCTCAAAATTTTGCTTATCGGCTTTGTTATTGTGATTACATCTATTTGCTGAGTTTTATTGGCATCGATTAACGGAAAATGCGTGAAACCGGATTTATTCAATTCAGTGATAGTTCTTGTCAAAGTCAAAGATTATTTATTCCATAGGTAAAATAAATTTACACTTGAAAACGTCACATTTAAGCTACTGCTCGTTCACTACGCTGACCTCCCTGAGAAGAACGAGCAAGAAACTCTAGGGATTGCTCTTTTCAAATAAACTTAAATGCTATGGAATACACTTTGAATCAAATTTGTGTGGATTCTGGAGCCGTGTCGTCTTTCCATACATCTTTATCTAACACGTAGTCTTCAATTTTGTACTATGATTTTTCGAGCAAAATATTTTTAATGTAGTTTTTAAACTTAGGAAATGATAAACTTAATATATGCTTCGGAATCTTATTGTAAAAACGTATACAGTTCCTCATAAAAGAGTTGTTTACCTTGTTTAAACGAAATCGTGGTACCATGATTTTGAGTTTGGACTTAGCTCTAAGGTTAATATTATGGATATCTTCTTTCTTATTGAAATTATGTATATTTTTACGAGCATATAAAACATTTGAGTAAATGTACTGTGATGCCACAGTCATGATACCAGTCTCCTTAAACTTTTCTCTGAGAGAAACCCGAGAGCCTAGACGGTACACAGAACGAATCGCTCGTTTTTGCAATACAAATCTGGTTTGAATATCTGCCGCTTTAGCCCACATGAGAATCCCGTAGGACATTATACTATGGAAGTGACTAAAGTAAACTAGTCTAGCATTACTAACATCGGTAAGCTCACGTATTCTGCGGACTGCGTATGGAGCGGAGCTTAATCTGCTGGCCCAGAGATCTATTTTATAGGTTTTGTCACCTCGTTCATAGAGGTGGAATATTATCTTCAAATTTAAATGAGACCAGTATGGAGGTATCCTCTTTCCAACAAAAAAATTTTTTTGATTTGATTTGATCATACACAAGAAAAAACAAAATACAATAGAATTTAAAACCTCATCTTGTTTTGAAGTTGGTTAAAAATTAAATTGGCTGCATTGACTTACCATAAGTCAATGATTGGCTGCTTTTAATTTGCTACTAACATGGCAGATTAATACAAAGATGAAAAAGATATGAGATATTGTGTTCTTAATTTAAAAAAATCGAATATAGTCAGAGATGGGCAAGCGCCTGAGTTTTAGCCCGGGTTTCAATGTGGTTAAAATCTACTAATACCCGAAATCGAGGGTAAAAACTATTTGCAAAATGTGATATTATTACCAAATGTTTATTACTATTGAATCATTTCACTTGAAAATCACATTGATATGAATCAATACAAAAAATCTATATATACCGTTGAATCGATTTTCTTAACAATCGAACTGTAATGCGTTCCTAGTATAAGTGAGAATACACAGGATTGCAAGGAGGGAATTGTGTGGAGTTACCTTTTACGTCAAAGAAAGATTTTTTATTATTTTACGCGTATAATGGTCTCCGCCCTCAATTTTGGGCAGAAATAGGCTGTAACCCGGCGCTTTGGCTAAAACCCCGGGTGAATTGATTGGGTTTTAACCCTAGTTATCTCTGAACAGCCCATCTCTGAATATAGTGCTTATATGAACATTATCGTACCTTGCATTTAATGCTCGCTGGGTGAACAAATGTTCCTTCATCTTTATCTTGGGAAGGGGGAGGGTCGCGCAGCCCTAGCACTAACATATCATCAAGGGATGCCTGCAAGTGCCTCCGGCGCGACGGCCGTGCCTCCTCATGGCTCCGACACGAGTACACCGACACAGAGTCCATACTAGCTTTACTAGTACTGCCAGATATCACGGTCACATTCTCTACGGACTCATTCGACTGGCAATCGCCCTGTCTCGCTCGCTCTTCATATATTTCAACCGAGTTGAAAGTGTTCGTTACACGATCGACGCCCAAATCCAGCTGAGGCGGTATTAGTTCGTAGTGATGCCCCTCATTCTCTGTATAAACTTGGTCGTAAACAGCGGCATCGTAGTTGCGGGATGTGGAAGGCATATTTCCGTAAACGTTGTTGTAGTTGTATGTATCTTCTTCGTTGCGCGGGCTCACGTGGCGTACCGATTGTAGATCGTTTGAGGTCAGTATGCCATCGTCCAAATTCAAGGGCCTGCCTTGTCCGCCGAATCCGTCCACAACAGGCGTAGTATTGGATAAAAAGGAGCCGTCGGTGTCGAAGCTACTGCACCCGACCATACCGATAGGGCGACGCGGCATATCCTGCCTGAACTTATTTGTGGCAGGTTGTTGACCAGCGAAGTCCACAACGAGTATTCTGTCTGCAATATTTCTGCAATCATTATTAAACCCAATCCCAGAGTCACTGTTGCTGGATGTGGTTGTTATTTCGCTGTGGTTGCTTGGTTGCGGCGAGTTTGCCACAAATTCCTGGCCATCAAGCCTTGCGTCGTCTTGTCTACAAGGCGGTCTCCTGTCCCGTGGTGCCCGAAATACAGCCCTGTTACACCGCGAGAAGTTCCCCAAAGCAGGACTGCCGCCTTTCAAGGCCAGTTTTGATATCTGCTGTAGAATCGGACTTGCATAATCATCGGGCGGTAATGAGTACATTCCTTTTATAACGCCGACAACATACTCGGCTGAAGGTGGGAATTCTAGACATCTCTCAGCAACGGGGTCTCTTGTACATGCTATTTGGAATTCTCTCGCCCTGTTCACGTGCATGTCGTGTTCGGCCATCCTCAGATCCACGGCAAATACGTGACAACTGTGAGACGCTTCAGATTCTGTCATTTCTGCTGAAGTGACTAGGCCGAAGTACCGTCGATCAGTATCTGAACCACATCCTGCATAGACGATGCGTTCTCGTTGATATTGCGCAAGGACTTGGCCGGTTTGACGGCGCAGCAAGAGTACAGTTGGAAGTACAGAGAGGAGAACTGGTGTGGCTGGACGGCGTTCCTGGCGAAGCTTCCGCACAGCACTCCGAACATTACCAGGTGCAGCCGCGGCTGTCGCTTGAGGTGTTTCTGTCGACCAATACATAAATGTCACTTAGTTTCAAAACATGAAGGTAACTAATAAAAATTATTGGTTTTTACTGGTTTTTTTTATAATATCAAGAGACGGGACGAAGAAGTCGTGCGCCTGGTGGTAAGCGATACATACACCTGTCCACAACAGTTGCAGTGCCACTCAGAGCCTTAAATCGCAAAGATCTGAGGGGCACTAAAACTGCGCCTGTCACCCTGAGACATAAGTTGATAAGTCCCATGTGACATTCGGTTTATAACAAACCCCATGGTAACAGCTTCCTACCTATTGTGCCAAGGTATCCCACGACGGTTCGGCATTCGAGCCGGGCGGCGTGGTTTGGCGCCAGCTGAGCGCGGCTTAAGTTCTGAAGAATCTCGTTGACACCAGACGTGCTGGGCACTGCATGGCAGACTGAAATAGGAATAGGCAATGATATGTGGCAAATGTCTACGGACAAATCACACCTTCAACAATAAAGTGAATTCATACGAAAGATAACATTAGTAGGAAACTTTTCAAAAACAAATTTTCCAATTTATTCACTTTGTTGTAAAAGTTGTATAGCATTGGGGATAGTGCAACAACACTTAACTAGCATTGGATTAAAAGTTTCCATTTGGGTAATCTAGAGGCCAAATTATTTTTGCATATTCGCTTTTCTGGTCAGGCCAATGAGATTGATGATATTGATGGCAAAGATGAGAAAGAAGATAATTCTTTATTCTCATTTATAAATTATATAATTACCACTACGTAGCTATATAAATACCACTATGGCAGCCACAAAGCAGTTTCAAGGGTATAGCTAGTCTTTTCTACATACTTGCTGTTCAATTGAAGGTAACTAATTCTGTGAAATCAGAAACAGAACCTTGTTGATGGTTTGTTACATTGTTTTATTAGATTCAATGTTTCCTTCACTGTTAGAGCCTATGCAGTAAATTTTTGAAATGAAGAATCTACACTACCAGTGGAGTAGATAAGCTTCTTGCTTGCAACGCTATGTCTGCGCGCGTTTGAATCGTTTCACTACAGCGCATCTGCGGTGCGTATACGCGCAGATGACGCGCGTTTACGGCGCCGCAAACGCACGTTACAAAATACGTCATGTGCATAGGCTCTTAGACAGCTTTTGCTATTGAACAGTAACAAATGTATACAAGCACATAAGTTAGAAATTGACCTCATTATTAATAAGCAAATTGTTATTGTGATAATGCATGAAGTACAATACAGACCTTCTTTTGACATTCACAACAAAAGCCTCAAGAAAAGTTTTTAGGTTGACAAAGTAAAAGCGACTAGTAATTTAATAAAAAGCAGTAAAATACACAAACAGATATGGATGACGTGAATAACAAGACAAGAGTGCTAAGTATTAGAAATGAATCTTTTTTTTTTCCAATTTCAATTGTGTATATTTGTTTTATAAAAGCAAAACTACGTTTGGGGTTCCTTACGATTACGGCTGAAATGGTATTCCCCTCACGCGTCCTTCATAGACATAATATTTGTTTTTAATAGGAAATGAAACTATTTTATTAGATGTAAATTGCGTATATTTCTATTTTAAATAAACCATAATCTCAGTACAGAGTACTAAAAAAACCGACCTCAAAAGTACGTGGAATTACGTCTATTTGCTAAGTTTTATTGAAATATCCCCTAGTTCGCCACTATACAGGACTTGACACTGGAGATAATAAAAATAGGTTCTCACTACGATACTACTCAAAGTATATTGAGAGAAAAACGCCTTGAATTGGAGAAATAGCAAAATCAACCATTAAAGTAATTGCTCCTAAATTAAAGTTAGGCGCTATTTATAAAAGTGAATCTTCATGCGTGAACAGCCACCCTTCGAGGTGGATGATTTTCTTCAAAATGAAATGGGACCACTATAGAAGTACTCCCTTTCCAACAAAAAAAGGATCATGAAAATCGGTTCACAAATACCGAAGTTACCGCGTAACACACATACAAAAAAAAGAACATACAGTTGATTTGAGAACCTCCTCCTTTTTTGAAGTCGGTTAAAAATACATTCGTATGAAAAAACAAATATGTGCAAATTAAGACCTGAAAAATAGTCCAATTTCCTATGGATAACAATTGCAAAACCTAAGAATTTTTCAGTTTTTTAAAAATGGTAAATGAAAACACGGCTTTGCATTAGAGACACCATATAGATTTAGGATGCTATGGTATTGAACGGGATACTGTATGTCTTGCAATGATTGCATGTAAAATAGTTTCATTTCCAATGTGCAGCTATTGTGAAAACCTAAGAACTTAAACAAGAGTGCTAAGTGTTAAAAGCCACCACACGACATATAGGTAGGTGCACCACACAGAATACGTGCATAGATGCACTCACATACCTAATGACATTGTTAGCTGTTTAGCCATCTGAAAAGAATGTTAACAATTTAAGTTTTGCTAATTTTTTATCTATGTATACAAGTCGCCATTTTATTAGTAGTCAAGGATATTAGTATTGAATTGATGAACTAGGCTATTGATAATTCCACTAGGCAATATCGGTCTTTGGCCATTCATAATGCAGTAAAGGGAGTTCCCTTTAGTACATATTGTACACTCAGTCAAAGACTGACAGAATAGATTTAAAATAAAAATAACAATGATGTGACAAAATTCCTATTTGATGTGATAAATGATAAATTACTTTTATTTTGTATGTTTTTTTAATTTTATTTAGTTAAATTCCAAGGAAAAGTTACTTTTCAATTTGCACCACTTTATTATTGAGTTTTTTTAATGAAATGTCAGTGTGCATCTAATCCTCCATGCACACCTAATGTCTAGACACTCTCACCTTGAAAAGGCCCAAGCTATAACTTTCAAAGATAAGCCTGCAGACAGGGAATTTCATTCCATAGCTGTTCGCCATATAAGTGTGGAAGTGCAACATCAATTTGTGCGAATCCCAGGAATATCAATAACACAGGGTTGGAATCCCAGTTGATGTCTCGTCCACCAGTGATGGAAAGGCAGTATTAAATCATTCCATTGCAAACTATCCATGATAAATATCCTGTAGAATTCCGATAGAAACTTTACAGCAGTTTAAAGCTAAAATAATTTAACTGCCTCTGTGGCCAAACGGTTACTATGATAGTCTGCCATGCAGAGGTACTGGGTTTGATTCCCAGGCCGGGAGAAATATTTGTACGGCCTAAATTTATTTATCTTGTGAGTTTGAGTGTAATTTGTGTGTCCATGGCACCCACAACATGTTTCCCTAGTCCGGGGCTATGAGAGTGTGTGTTATTTATTTATAAACAACAAAACAATGTTACCTATACATTATGAGAAATCAATAGGAATCTTACATTTTATCGTTTAGAATGTAATTACTCAGTCACTGTTAAGGTATACGGTTGCTGAATTACTCTTAGAGGACATTTACAATACTATTGCAACATGTAATATTCAATACCTGAATGATGAAGTGAGGTTTGCGGTCGGCGTCGCGTCGGCGGATGTCGTCGCCGAGTCCTAGTTCGCTCGTCAGGCTCAGTGTCTTCCGTATCAGTGGGTGGAGAATCCCGTGGCGCCACGCTCAGAGAGATAGCGCCCGGGGCACCTGCTACCATACGCGCCACAGACGCGTGAGGGGCTCTGGCCACGTTCGCGCCGTCTACGGCGAGCAAAGCATCTCCAGCACGCAAACCGGCGCGATCGGCAGGCCCTCCTGCGGCCACCGCAGACACAACGCAAGGCCTCTGCCCAGCAATAGTGAAACCAAAACCTCCAACGCCTCTTGCAACTATCAATCTCCGCTCCGCTGTTCGTGGCAAAACTCTACGCCGTCTTCGTCTTTGCTGAAGAGGCACCATAGTTTACCTCTAATGTTTAATCTGTTTACGAATAAGATAACAGTACGCAATCATTTTGTAGGACGTGTAAAAGTATTGCACAGGATATGCAGGAAGCTCCAGGCGAAACTTTTATGTGATTAAAACTCGACAAACTGGAATGAAAGTTTCGTTCGCGCAACTGACATTAGAAAGTTTGGTTTTGTGTTCGAACTTGAAAAGATGCATTCTACTACATATCACATTCTTAATTACTTATATGGTAAACATTATTAAAAATATATTAATATTATTATTGAAATAACAATTTTACATAAAGTTATAATTATTATAGATCAATCTTGTTAAAATAAAATGCGTTCAATTGTGGAATATGTGTACACACCACAGAATACTTGCACACCACATTTTTATAGTCTGTGGAAATTTTTAAAACAACATTAAAGCACCAAACGTTTTCCACGTTGTTTTTATTGAAAATTTTTAATATTTCCCAAGAAATTGAGTTATTTTATTGCCTGATCTATCAATTTAAATAGAATATCAACCAAAATGGCTGTAAGTACTATTATTGATACTTTAATATTTAAGATATATAACATAACCTACGACTAAGTTAATAAACCTATTTCTTTCAGAAAAAACGCAAGTTAAAGATTAGCAAAGTAAAAAGAAATAATCAAACTACTAATAAGATGCGAAAACAGGGAAAATTGAATCTTCAAAGGCATAGAAACAAGGTGCAAAAACAGAAGGCGCCTGAGAAGCCTCAAATTGAATACAGCAGCGAAAGTGAGGCCTCTGCAGACGGATGGGCGGACATGCTGGACGACGAAGAGCAGCAGTACATCATGAAGAGACTGGCCAAGCAACCACAGCTGCTTTCCAACATTCAAGAAGAAGAAAAACAACCTAATAGGTATTTACAAAATGTCTGGTATATTACTGTCTAAAAAGCCAACTATTGTGGCTATTAGAGAGGTGAGTGCAAAGCGACAATGTGTAAATGATGTAAATAAGGCCTGTAACACTTGGGTGTCAGCCTTGTGATGTCAATCCATGTGATTTATTCTACTCTATTGTATCGCCTCATAGTGAGTGGCAAGACCTCACACATGTGCACAGAGTTTTTGCCCTCTTCGCCTACAGGTCGCCCAACACTACAGTTTACTCCCTAACCAGCCAAATATCCTTTAGATGAAATTGACTTTTTATAACCACAAAGTAGTAGTATACAGTAGAGCTCCTTGTGAAAGTTTGTGTTCAGGGAAGTATTGCCACCTTAAAGACCTATGTCTGCCACCAAGCAGTAATGTGAGCATTACTGACTTCCGGTTTTGAAGGGTGCTGGTTACAGGCACGTGAAGCTTTTCAACTTATGTCTGTCTCTTTGTGATTTAAATATCTGAGCAGCTCTGCAACTGTATGGACTGGGGAGGCGTGTACAACCAGTCACACAAGTTATTTGTTCCGTCACTAGGTCACCGTCAATTATCTACTTATATTATTAATACACATGTGTATAACAGCCTGCGCACATTTTGATAATTAGTTTTGGTTGTTAATTTCAGTTAATTTTTTAAATGAAGCAAGTACATGAAATTCTATATAAGCTTTTTGTTTGCTTCGCGATGGTTGCGCGCGTTTAAATCGATTCACAACAACGCGTATACAAGCAGATAACATGCAGTATACGCGCAGATTACGGGTGTTTACAGCGCGTATATAATATGCCTTGTGCATAAGCCCTTAATGAAAAAAAAAAAAAAAAAAAAAATGAATAGCAGTGGTAAACATCTAGCCTATAACCAAGCTCGATGTTGATAACCCAATGGGTTGCTTTTCATTTAGAATGTAGAATCTTCGACAGTTTGCAGTGGTATGCACCCATAGCTTTAATTTGTACATGTTGGAAATGGTTCACTGTCATAGGTAAATGTGTGATGACCCCAACCAGCATTGGATCAGTGCGGAGAATTATAGTGTCAATCCTCCAATGAGATTATTGCCTAACTGACACTACCAGATTGTTTAGAGAGTAAATATATTTTATTATTTCGGTATTTACAACACAGGTCTAGGAAACGGAAGCGTGAAACAAAAGAGCGTGTTCCTAAACCCACACCAACAATGAACGACAGTGGGGCAGAAAATGACATTAGCGATTCAGATGATGAGATTGAAGACAAATATGAAATGGAATTGGCAGCGCGGCCAGTCAAGCGACTGCGGCCTTTACTGCCTATCAAGACGAAATTAGGGCTGCAGGAAAGGGCAGAAGAATGTGATGGTAATTATCGAGTCTTATTACATAATATCCAAATACAAGTAAAACAAATGTAAAGGAAGCTATTTTAAATAAACAATTAAAAATAAAGGCAATACCATCTTCATAAAACTATACAATTTATAGTAATATACTAAACTGAGTAAATGGGTACCTGTGTTTTAGACATCTTGTTTGTGCATACTTTATATTAGTGCTTATGAACAGATTGGCTACATTTATTTCACAATAAAACAATTAGTTATTATAATAATTGTCTCAGTAGCTGCCTACACAGTTGCAAAACTTTTTCAGTTCCTATTAGTAAAACTAACCTCGGTCAACACTGCCCATGCATGTGCTCTTCTTACAATGCTATCAGATTTGATTTTAATAGTGTTCTCTGGTTCTGCGACCTTAGCCAGGAACTCAAAAAGTGTCCTACATGTTGACTTAACTATAGGTTTTGTTATATATTTTCTCAAAGTATTGGATGCAAGATTTTAATTACTGTCATTTATGCACTTTTTGTTATTGAATTTTGATTATTGTGTTCACATCAAGTATGATACATTCTTCTTGTATCATATGTGTAGTAATGCTAATCAAACGCCTTCACCTTATTTTAGTATCGTATCCAGTGATGTGAACCAACAATAAAAAAATTATGCTTTAATATCTGGCAAGGCTTGTGTATCTCACAAGTCCTATTCTTCTTATTATAGATTTCTTCTTATTATAGCATATTGTTCATATGCCATGATAACGAGAAGTATAATTAAAATAATAGAATGTGCCAATTAAGCGAATTTATGCGAGCGTGCTCTGCGAAGTTGTATACAAGAAGAAAAGCCATTGTCTGTGGTTGGTTAGGGACATTTTTTTTATAAAAACTAAGCGCGTTTAACCTCCTTCTCACCAGATGGAAAGTGGTGATGTGGTCGACGATGTAGCACGCGTGAATAATGCCTATTCACTCTCGCCTTCTAAAGGCCCTAGCTATAGCGTTCGGAGAATAAGTTCGCATATAGAGAATTCCACTGTAGCCGCTTGGCATATAAATGTAGAAGCGTTACGCTTCTTGCGAATCCCGGGAATATCCACAACATAGGGTTGGAATCCCAGCTCACGTCTATCATATCATGGCATCAAATGAAATGGAGAGATTGAGTGCTTTTACAAAATTACGTGTAGGGTGATATTAAAACAGTTTGAAGTACTGTATTATTTTACCTTAATTTAAATTTCCTGCATTAAAATTGCAAGGCAAGGAATAGGGACAGTAACAGACATCTGCTGTTGTATGGAGGAGCACAAAGCGACCGCGCAGCCTGTAGTAATGTTCCTTTTGAAATGACAACACCAACACACGAAGAGGGTTGTAGCACACGATTTTTGTATTATTATTATTATTATTATTATCAATTAATACACTAGCAGCTCTGCGAGCTGATGCGTGTATATCACTGCACTTGTATATTATTCGTTTCCAAAATGTTTATCTAGTCTAGCTTTGAAACTGTTCACTGTCTGTGCACTAATAACAGTTTCTGGGAGCGAATTCCACAAGTTCACAACGCGAAATGGTAAGAAGTGTTTTCTAGGGTTGCTAGCACACGGAGGCATGTTTAACTTTAGAGAGTGGCCTCTCAATTGATGATTATGATTCAATATGTACATATCTTGCATATTGCGCACATTGTAGTACCCATTGAGTATTTTATAAGTCTCTATGAGATCTCCTCGGTTCCTTCGCTGCTCCAAAGTAGTTAACTTTAGTTCATGGAGGCGCTCTTCGTAAGATAAGTTTTTTAAAGACTGAACCATTTTCGTTGCTCTCCTTTGTACTTTCTCCAACATAAGAATGTCCTTTTTGAAATAAGGACACCAAATTTGAAAAGCATATTCCAATAATGGACGTATATATGTTTTGTATATTTGGATAAATAACTCCTTAGTAATATTGTAAAATGCTTTTCTTATCATGTACATCATAGAATTAGCTCTTCTGGTTATGGTTATGATGTGTACGTCCCATTTAAGGTTACTGGTTATTGTAACACCAAGATCTTTTTGTGCATTAACAGCCTGAAGAGTTATGTTATCCACAGTATAACCAAGTTTCGGATTACTATTTCCTATATGCAATACTGTACACTTTGTAGCATTCAATGAAAGAAGCCAGAGTTTTGTCCATTGTACAATGCGGTCCAAATCCTGTTGTATGGTATTGTGAGCTATTAGAGGGTTTCCTATAAGCTTGGTATCATCTGCATATATTGACAGGTCTGACTGAATGACATTCTTTAAGTCTGTGATGAAGATAACAAACAGAATTGGCCCAAGGACCGATCCTTGTGGGACGCCACTGTGAACGTCAAAATCATCTGACAGAGTATCACCTACTCTTACTTTAAACTTTCTGTCACTTAGGAAGTTCTCAATCCACTTTAGGAGCTGTCCACGGATTCCAAGGTGACTGAGTTTCGCAATTAGCCTTTTAATAGGGACTTGGTCAAATGCCTTCTCAAAGTCTAGATATATCACATCAGTAGGGTGGCGCTTATCCCAGTTGTGTGTCCATTTGTCAAGGCACGTGAGAAGATTCGTAACTGTAGATCTCTTTGGTACGAAGCCATGCTGTTCATCTACGATAATGTTCTCCACATTGATAAAAGTTCTTAGCTCAGCTGCCACAATCTTCTCCATAACTTTACAAACAATGCTCGTCAAACTTATGGGACGGTAATTAACAGCAACATACTTGTCACCTTTTTTATATATGGGAGTAACATGTGCCTTTTTCCATTGTTGTGGTAATCGTCCATTAGTAAATGATAAATTCATAATGTGCGCTAACTGCTGGCTTAAAACATTGCTACATTTTTTTAATAATATTGCCGGCAAGGCATCTGGTCCCATAGCAGTAGAGTCATTGAAAGTTTTTAAAGCTTTGGCTACTTTCTCTGGTGTGAAGGTCAGCAGTTCTATTGTATTTACTACTCTTGGCATTTGTACTTCTGGGATTGACACTTTTGAGGGTTCTATTACAAAAGATTTTTCGAATTGACGAGCAAATAAGTTGGCGATTATCTTTTGGTCACAAGTAATATTTCCACTATCATCTTTTAACAACATGGGAACCGAAACTGTTGAGTGCAATTGTTGTCGTACGTAAGAATAAAATGTTTTAGGTCCACTTTTTACAATCCCTTTTTCAAACTCCATTCTGAGCTTCCGGACTTTATTTACCAATTGGTTATTAACCTTCCTATATGCTTTATATGCAGCTTCAGAACCGTTTTGGGTGTACTGTTTCCACAGATCCATTTTGTGATCGACTTCATCTAATATTTGTTGATTAATCCACGGTTTATTGACATTAGGTCTTTTAAATTTAGTTTTCAAAGGAATGTTTTTTTCAATAGCACTATGAATTTTTTGTGAAAAATTTGTCCAGGCATCATCAACATCACTAACTTGAGTATCTATTATGTTTTGTTTGTTTAAGACATCTTCCATTAGTTCCTCATAATTTACTGTAAAAAAGTTTCTTCGGGGCTGTTGGGTACTTGATTTACTGGCCGATTTATCTTCGCACTGTATTGTCGCTACAAGAACTTGATGATCGCTTTTTCCAATATTTGGATAGTGTTCAACACTAGTGCATAAGTTTTGTTCATTACATAGAATGAGATCAAGTAGCGATTCCTCATTATTCCGCTGTCTTGTCACCTTATTTACAAGTTGATACAGGTTACTGTCTACATACAAGTCAACAAATCTTCCATGGAGAGTGTTATATCTATCAGTATCAGTATCAAGCAATGGCCATTTTAAATCAGGTAGATTGAAATCGCCCATTATCAACAATGGCACATTTCCATCAGATGCTTCTTTAATGGTTTCGAATAAAAGCCTATCCGTTTCTTCAAATATGTAATGAGTTGGCCGGTAGACGCCAGCTAGTATTATTTTTAAATTACCATACTTCACATCCAACCATAATGCTTCCACTTCAGAATATTTGTTGTAAGTAGGATGTGGAGTCGCCAGTATGGGCTTTCCGTGAAGCTTATTTGATACATAAATAGCGACACCTCCCCACCCAGTACCCTTAATTCTATCATGTCGAAATAGTACGTAGCCTTTGATGTCAACTAGACTATTGTTAATACTTGGCTTCAGATGTGTTTCAGTAATAATAATGAAAGTAGGCCTTAGTCTACTGACCTCAACAATAAGCAAATCTCGTTTAGCCACAATCGATGCCAGGTTCGTATATAAAACGGTCATTTCTATAATCTTATCGTTTATAACTTTTTTGAATTCACTATTTTGGGGGTATTGTTTATATATTTTATAGTTAAATCACTTTCTCCATTTTCAATCCTTTGTTTAAGCTCCTCTCGCAATTTTTTAAGGAAGTCTCGTTGATATGGAGTCAGATCATTCTTAGCCGATATTCCAGACCGAAGTTTATTGCTGTTCTTTAGTAAGTTTAGTGCAGCTTTTTTGTTGGAAAATATTAACTTGACGGGGCGAGGAGAAGAGGTTTGCCCGGGTTTACCAAGACGAATTACGGCGACGGGTGATCCCGACTCCGGTATATCGGCTAGGGCTTGTAGTACCTGCTTTTTATCATGTTCAACACATACCTCTTTGTCCCGAACAGCATCTCCAGTTTGCCGCCGACACTCACCAACGCCGAACATAATTACATTAGCACTACGCTTTTTCCTTTCTGCCAATTCGCCCAGGATGCATTCCATATTTGTATTTTGATTTTGGTTCTCTTTTAAAGTCTCAATTTCCTTTTGAAGTTGGGAAACCGTGTTTCTTAATGCAGGTAATTGACGGACTCCGAGTTCACAGTCAGGACACAAATATTTTAGGGTAGGAGATTGTAATATAATCACTCTCAACTCCGTAGCCAGCAACCCACTGCACTTTACACAAATATGCCTTTCACAGCCATAGCACTGTATTTTAGGGTTTTTTTCATCAATTTTAGGCACATCTTTTACACATTTCAAACAGACAGGCATTTTATATGAACCCAGTAGATGAAAACGTAACACTTTTAAAGTTATGAACTTTTGAAGTTATGAACACTATTATATTTTAAAAGAATAGCTTAAAACGGTTAAAATCAACACGAAATTCGCGTTTTAAGCATAAAATAACCACAAAAACTAATTAAAAAACGAAATAAATCAGAGCCAGAGTAAAAACACAAGTGCACTTCTTGAATGCGGGTAGTAGAAAAAACTATATATACTATGTATACTTTCCAGTGCAAGTAATTGATTTTTGATTTACATCTTGCTTTTTTCAATTAAACTAGATAGACAAATATATAAATTTCTTCCTGTTTATACAGTAAATCAAAGTTACAACACTTTACCAGCCGAGATACTGCACATGATTAAAGATGATTCATCTGTACACACTTATATCGATTCCGACACAGATTGCGCTACCAAGTCCCAGCACTTTATCAAAACTGTGTTCCGACTTAAAACTGCGTTTTTTACAGATACTGAATCAGAAGAAGAAAGTGAAGGGCAATCAAAACCAAAGCTACGGGAATCTCTTGAGGAGCACACTGACTCGGACTCCGGCGTGGATGGCACGGTGGAGGAGGATACGCCAGAAGAGTCGAGTGAAGCCGGCGAGATCACTACGGTGCAGTTACTGGCCGCCAGGAGAGACAAGCTGGCCCATGAGAAGCTCAGAATTGGAGCACTTTGCTCGTCCTTGTTGGAGAACCCTGAGAAAAAGGTAACATACATTGCTTACTAAACTTTTTATAAATAACCACTTATAGTTAAGTGCTTTATTGAATGGATGATGGAGGATGTTTCACCATAATGATATTCAATTATTTTTTATGAAATTACTCATTAATTGATTATCATGGAATACAAGACATTTATTCGCTGAAAAATGTAGTTAACAATGCAGGTCTTATAATATATTATATTAGATCGTAGATTTCACCAAAACTTGGCATGCGAATATTTTACACAATGCTTATTTCACTTTAAACCTAGCATGCATTAAAGTTAAATTAAAACAATAGCATAAACAAACTACAACAATTGGAATTTAACCAAAAAATAAGAAGTCAAAAGTATAACATGCACTAGTTAAATTTTACATTTTGTGTTATCAAGTAAAAATCATTAATATTGTAATAACAATGATTAACTAACAAATTATGCAACTTCATTTTAAATCTACAATTTAGTTCTTTAACAGCATCCGGCAATTTATTACATAATTTGGGTGCTAATACGAACATCATTCTACTGTAAAATTCCAAATTAGCGTTGATTGGGCCGTATTTCTATTTTATTCCCTGTGTTTCTAGGATATCCAGTTTAGACTATATGTTAAAGTTCTTTAGATTTTGTTTCACATAAACACAGGCCTCGTAAATATACATCGATGGTAGGGTTAATATCTTCAGTTTCCTAAAGTAAGATACACACCTCTCTCGCTGACCCACACCAAACATGGCCCTGCCACATTTCTTCTGGGTTTTAAATAGTGGCATAATATGTATTGCAGCAGCATTTCCCCAGAGTAGTAATCCATATCGCAAACTAGAGGCTACATAAGCGTGATAAGCACAGAGAGCAGTTTTTGTGATGTTATTCTTGTCACATTTTGTAGAACATATACTTATTTACAAAGTTTAGTATTTAAGTTATTGATATGTGTCTTCCAGTTCTAGTGACTATCAAGAGTGGTGGTGTAACCTTCAATAAAACACTTAATTACAGTGAATAGAGACATCTCTATCCAGGGCTGGTAGCTGTAAAGGTGCCTAACTGGGTGACAAACTACTTTCATAGATTTCACATAGATGGCGCTACGGCTCAAATTTAGTTAAAAACCAGATGTAAAGATCCGACAAGTACGTAGAAGAATTCGTGAGGTCCGCTGGTTCGTTCCGCTTAGTTGGCATAGCGCGTGACACGGCTTGCTAGAAGACGTCGGTTCGAATCAGGTCCGACCGAAGGAATTTTTTCTAATTGTTCGATCTTTGTTTTAATAATTATGTCAAAGTCAAAGATTATTTATTCCATAGGTAAAATAAATTTACACTTGAAAACTTCATATTTAAGCTACTGCTCGTTCACTACGCTGACCTCCCTGAGAAGAACGAGCAAGAAACTCTAGGGATTGCTGTTTTCAAATAAACTTAAATGCTATGGAATACACTTTGAATCAAATTTGTGTGGATTCTGGAGCCGTGTCGTCTTTCCATACATCTTTATCTAACACGTAGTCTTCAATTTTGTAATATGATTCTTCGGCCAAAATATTTTTAATGTAGTTTTTAAACTTAGGAAATGATAAACTTAATATACGCTCCGGAATCTTATTGTAAAAACGTATACAGTTCCCCATAAAAGAGTTGTTTACCTTGGTTAAACGAAATCGTGGTGCCATGAGTTTGGACTTAGCTCTAAAGTTAATATTATGGATATCTTCTTTCTTATTGAAATTATGTATATTTTTACGGCCATATAAAATATTTGAGTAAATGTACTGTGATGCCACAGTCATGATACCAGTCTCCTTAAACTTTTCTCTGAGGAAACCCGAGAGCCCAGACGGTACACAGAACGAATCGCTCGTTTTTGCAATCAACACACACATATAACAATCCACTTATAGTCTTCCGAACTTTAACATCCTTACAGTGGCGGGGCGTGAAAATTTTCCTTAGTACAGCCGAAGCTTTAACTGTTTGAAAAAACAAAAAACACTTAGTTTAACAAAAATTTCTTTTCCCGTTAAAAAGGCGCTTGGCGACGTTCAAACACAACACTTATTAGGACTCAAGATACTATTTCACTTCATTTCACGGGATAACTTATTCTACACATAAAATAACCATAGCTTTTAAAGTAATTTTATATTTTAACTGCCCGTCGCGATACGAAAGTATGTGAACAAACAGATGAATTCTAAGGGTCGTATTCTAGAACTCTACTCAATGCTCAAGTCAGGATTGCACTGGAAACATAAGCACTGGAAATACGACACTAATGGCAGGGACTTGAGTATGATTTTCAGTGCTCACTGCAATACTCAAGTCCCGACTTGAGTATTGAGTAGTGTTCTGGAATACGACCCTAGGTGTTGCATACATTCGTTACGTAGTACTAGTAGAAAGAAACACCCAATTAAATCTTCAAACTTGTGTAACACTATTTATCGTTAAGATTTACAAAATACAAATTAACCATATTTTGTACTAATTTGGTATTATAATAATTTTGTTAAATTATTTTAAGAAAGTTTTACATCTGGCAACAATTCTGATATTAAAACAAATTAAACTATAATGTGTTGGAATAAGTTATAAAACGGATTTTTGCCAATGTGTGCAATTTTTTGATGAAGAGCGCGTAAATTTCATGAATGAAATAGAGCTTGCCGATCCGCCGACTCACCTCGCGCTGATTGGTTGAGGTGCATCGGGACAAATTATTACGCGTTTAATTGAATATTTTAAGTAAATGTTTTTTCAAGTGGTTTGGTATGCAAGCTGATGGGAATCGAGTTACATGGACGCCTCGCCACTGCATCTTTAAAGAAATACTTTTCACAGTTAAACAACCTGTACGCGATCCTGTATCTGATGGAGGAACGATTAAAGGACAACACATTGAACCTGCATTCAGTGCGCAAGCTGGCTACTCTCTCAGCTTGTGAGGTGTTCCGGGACATATTGCCAGAGTACTTCCTTAGGCATCAGGATTACTCCAATATTAAATGTGAGTATCCCGCTTGCAGTGGTCGTGGCCGAACGGTTACCATACCGGACTGCCACGCAGAGGTCCCCGGGTTCGATTCCCGGGCCGGGAGAAATATTTGTATGGCCTACATTTATTTCTCTCGTGAGTTTGGGTGTAATTTGTGGTTGTCTACGTGTGTGTCCATGGCACCCGCGACAGAGGGTTTCCCTAGTGTGGGGCTATGTTGAGTGTGTGCGTTATTATTATTATTATTATTAAGTGGTACCTACTGTAAAGAATGTTCAGTGCAAATCTACCGACTTGGTCAATTGGTGTAATTTGTGTTATGGACATGCGTGTCCCGCTGGGACACGGTTTCAAATACAATGAAAAGAAGAGTGAGTAATTAACAAAAAGTGACAAGACGAACTTTTAACTGACTCCGTGGGCGAATAGTTACCATGCCTGCTACGCAGAGGTCCCGGGTGCGATTCCCGTGCTGGGGGAAATATTCATATAGCCTACATTTATTTATCTCGCGAGTTTGGGTGTAATTTGTGGTTGTATATGTGTGTGTCCATGGGGCACTGCACTCCATTGCGCCCGTCACCCTGACACATAAATTGACAAATCTCATCCGGAACGCAGTAATGCTCGCATTACTGTTTGGCGGCAGAAATAGGTAAGGTGGCAGCACTACCCAGGACACGAACTCTTTCACAAGGAGCTCTACTGCTACAAAAATGTTGACAAATGCGTATAATAATAATATTAACGTACACACTCAACCCTGTGTCGGTTGCCATGGACACATACATAGACAACCACAAATTACACCCAAACTCACGAGAGAAATAAATATAGGCCACACTAATATTTCTCCCGGCCCGGGAAACGAATCTGGGTTCTCTGCGTGGCAGTCCGGCATAGTAACCGTTTGGCCATGGAGGCAGTTAAATAAAACATGATCCATTGCTAATTATTACAATACCGGACACTGAACATTGTAATGTCTCCGTTTTTCAGTGAAGAAGGACACCTTAGCTTTGTACAAACACGAGAAGGAGCTGCTCGCATTCTACAAGAGGTACCTGCAGAGGTTGGAGAAAGCTGCCATGGTGTTGCGGAAGAAGAAAGGGGATACGCGGTAATAATAATGTTGCATTTTCAATTCTATATCTATCAACCCATTTATAAGTCCCATTGCTAAGCATGGGTCTCTTTTCAGGCCATCGAGAATATAACCAGAAATAGAGACGAAATGTCATTTAGTTTGTTTGAAAACTATTCCGCCATATCATTACGTCTCTTACTCTCTAAAGTAGTTTTTTGGTTTAATGCTAACAATTTATTGCTTAATGCCAAGAAGACAAAATGTGTTAAATTTGAATTACCTGACGTAAAATCGACTAGTCCATGCATAGAAATAAACGGAGAAAAGTTAGACCTTGTTAATAAAGCAGTCTTCTTGGGAGTGACCTTAAACTTCAAAGGTTTCCACATATATCTTCTCTGGCCAGCAGATTAAGCTCCGCTGCATACGCAGTCTGCAGAATACGTGAGCTTACCGATGTTAGTACTGCTAGACTAGTTTACTTTAGTTACTTCCATAGTATAATGTCCTACGGGATTCTCATGTGGGGTAAAGCGGCAGATATTCAAACCATATTTGTATTGCAGAAACGATTCGTTCTGTGTACCGTCTAGGCTCTCGGGTTTCTCTCAGAGAAAAGTTTAAGGAGACTGGTATCATGACTGTGGCATCACAGTACATTTACTCAAATGTTTTATGTGCCCGTAAAAATATACATAATTTCAATAAGAAAGAAAATATCCATAATATTAACCTTAGAGCTAAGTCCAAACTCATGGTACCACGATCGTTTAACCAAGGTAAACAACTCTTTTATGGGGAACTGTATACGTTTTTACAATAAGATTCCGGAGCATATATTAAGTTTATCATTTCCTAAGTTTAAAAAGTACATTAAAAATATTTTGATCGAAAAATCATATTACAAAATTGAAGACTACGTGTTAGATAAAGATGTATGGAAAGACGACATGGCTCCAGAATCCACACAAATTTGATTCAAAGTGTATTCCATAGCATTTAAGTTTATTTGGAAATAGCAATCCCTAGAGTTTCTTGCTCGTTCTTCTCAGGGAGGTCAGCGTAGTGAACGAGCAGTACAGTACCTATGGAATAAATAATCTTTGACTTTGACTTTGACTTTGGCGAACTGAGCTCAGATAGGTCTTTCGAGACCTATAGTTGGCACGCGACAGACGCTAACTAACCACTTCTACTGTATTTATTGTTCTGTGGATTTACATATTGGACGTGTGAAATGGAAAATTGAATTTGCAGGAAAGTTGACGAATCTTCTATCCAACTGGGGCTGATATCGGTGCACTGCATGTGCAGCCTGCTGCAGTCTCGGCCGTACTTCAACTTCGCGAGCAACATCGCGCAGAGCATTGTGCCATTCCTTGCTTGCAGCGACTCCCGCGCCGCAAGCGCAGTCACCGATTGCTGCGCACAGGTCTTCAACGAGGACACTAGAGGGGAGATTACGCTCACTGTAAGAGTCATTGTTCAATTTTACAATTAAAATTAGGATGATGTATCCCACTGGTGGGCAAAGATTTCCCCCTGATTGTTACTTTGTTATCCTAAAAACATCGAGTATATAACCAGAAATAGAGACGAAATGAGGGCTATCCATCCCTGGCAACTCATCAGTATATGACCTGAAATAGCACAGCGCCAACAACTGACCTGTTTGTACGTTTCCGTATATTCCAAAAATATTCTGTATTTATTGTAATAAATATAATATTTTTTACAATGGCGTGCTGTACTATTCGGTGGTGTGGGAAAAACAGCAAAACATCTAATTACAAAACAAACGGAATCACATTTCATCGGTAATTAAATATGTAATTTTTCAATTTTCGTCCATTATAGCAAACCCAAGTTGAACTGGTCGATTTGAAGTGAATAAATTGTTTCGAATTTGGGCCAATCGGAGAGCAGTTGTCACCATAATGATTTGGCAGAATAGTTTTCAAACAAATTAATTGACGTTTCGTCTCTATTTCTGTTCGTGTAATCGATTATTAAAAATAATCTTCGATGATCCCTGTGCAAGTATGACCTTGTAACGACGTGCGCTAATTTACGTATTTCATAGACTATTTTTATAAGCTTCGCTTTTAAACGAATGGCCATTGACTTACAATTATATGGACGTCGGGTCCGCGCTAAAAAGTGTCCGCACTTGTAAGGCGCTAAAATCGTATACAGAGCGCCAAACTCCGCTTTAGTCTTCATTTGTTCGACTGACAGCGCGATACTGCGATGACATTACAATTTAAATTTCGAATAGGTTGACTTGGGACATTTTTTTCGTGGGTTTTGTATTAGACCCGTCGTCCATCTATTTAATGGTAAGTAATGGTAAGATAAGTCAATGCGAATAGCATATAAATTGAATGTGACATTTAAAAAAAAATAATTGTATATTGGCGTAATCAGTAAAAGAAGGCCGATCTGTCACTGTATTTATTTTTCTAGTTGGATAAAGTATGAAATTACTGCAAGAAAAAGTAGTTCCCTTTTATTTAATTTTTTTAAATATTATTTTCTCTTTAAATTTTATTGAATGTAAGAATGTTTCACCACCACGTTATTCAATTCGTTTTTGGGAAATTGTTCCACTAGTTTGTTATAATTATCATAAAGTAAATATGTAACCATAAAGGAAAAGATTCACCTTCATCTGGCTGGATTCGAACCAACGTCTCCTAGCAAACTGTGCCAGACGCTATGCCAAATAAGCCACAGAACGGACCCCACGAATTTTTCCATTTGTCTGTTGCAGATCAATGTTTTGGTTTTTTTATTATTTTCTGTTTTGGGTTTTTGTCACAAGTGCCCTTTCGACTAACGGCGGCAGTGATTTTTTGTTTTTTTTTTCTTTAATAAGTGCGCATTTGACCTCCATCTCACCTGATGGAAAGTGACCATAAGATCGACGATGTAGCACGCACACCTAAATAATGCCTATTCACTCTCGACTTAAAAAGGTCCAAGTTGTAGCGTTCGGAAACAAACCGCAGGTAGGAAATTTCACACCCTAGCCATATAAATGTGTAGTATAGTATTCTATAGTAGTATAGTTCCTTGCCTATCCCGGATCACAATTTGAAGTCGTATCGTTCAGGTGGTGCGCCTGATCAACCAGCTGGTCAAGCGACGCGGCGCGAATCTCCCGCCTCGAGCTCTCAGCTGCCTCCTGGCACTGCGCATACGCGACATCGATCTTGACGAGGAGAAGGACCTCAAGAGGAAGCAAGCGCACGACCAAAAGCGAAAGAAACGCATCGTTAATCTCTCCAAGAAGGAGAAAAAGGTAACTTTTTCATCTATTATATTACCTATGAAGTTTTTGAAAACGAAAAGTCTAGATTTTATTATCATTATACTTATGCTAATTTTTGCCCGTGATACCATGTCAATCGATCTTGTACACACTGTTAAACAGATAAGTTTACACCGGAGGAGGCAATCAAGAGACAAGCAAAACCGTGATGTGTTGAAATTTATAGCTTTGATATGGAGTTTTTAGGTCTTAGAACGATGAACTTGATGAGGTCAGTACCTGCCCTGCTAATCCCTAGGACAACGTAGTATAGTTTTTATGTTTATATTTAGTCATATGCAATATAATATAAAACCTAGTAGCCTAAAACCAAATTGAGGTCTCTCTGGTTAAGTAAATGTTATTACAATGTGGGAGACTTCATGAACTCTCCTATAAGCTGAAAGAGTCCACTTTCAGATAAGTAATTTTAAGTGTATGTAATACTATGATCTAAAGTTTATTAATAATAATTTTAAGATCCTATATGTATTAGTTCCTAAATGTTATTATTATTATTTTTTGCTATCATTTTTATTTTTACAATTTTAATATTACGTTTAAAAATAATTAATTGCTGCACCCCAAAGGGGTATGTATGTACTTATTACCTATGTAATTTTTGTACCTACATTATTTGCAAATAAATAAATAAATAAATAACAATATAATAAACTAATCTACACATATTGCACTTGTCGGCGATGTGTGACGCAATCTGGTATCAGGTAACCAGCTGCGGAATCGCTGATATATGACACCCTTCGGCCAAAACTCCTCCCTCATGATGGTAGACAGATGTTCGGTCGGTACTCTGCACCGAATTTATAACCAGAAATAGAGACGAAATAAGGGCCATCCATCCCTGGCAACTAATGAGTTGCCAAATTAAAAAATGATGAGGCAAATTGGCCTTATATCACTTTTAAGTATCAATTCTCGTATGCGCTGAAATCACAAATTAGAAAGCTGAAATAGTACAGCGCCAACAACTGACCTGTGTGTACTTCTCCGTATATTCCAAAAATATTCTGTATTTATTGTAATAAAGATAATATATCTTACAATGGAGGGCTGTTCGATTCGGCGGTGTAGGAAAAACAGCAAAACAGCTAATTGCAAAACAAATGGAATCGCATTTTATCGGTAATTAAATATTAAATATGTAATTTTTAAATTTTCGTCAATTATAGCAAAGCTCAAGTTAAACTGGTCGTTTTGAAATGAAACTATAACGACACCCGTCAGTTATTTCAAATTCTGGCTGGCCTATCGGAGCGCAGTTGTCACCGTAATGATTTGGCAGAATAGTTTTCAAACAAATTAAATGAAATTTCGTTTCTGTTTCTGGTTGATCTCGATGTGTACTCTCACCACGAACGCGTTAAAATTCACATTATGGTGGGACCTCTCGACTCTCAAGTTGTATTTAGGTTTAGCCTGATGTACTTCACTATCTACTTTTTGTACTAGGCAACTAGACTTGTATATATAGCTTAATCAAATCTGGGTCTGTCCGACATGTATCCGAAATATACTGCCAAATGAGGAGTTAGTAGCAGTAGGGCTCCTATTTCCGCAGCGAAGCAGTAATGTCATCATTACTGTGCTCCGGTTTTGAAGGGTAAGGGTGCTGGTGAAATTACAGGCACATGGGACTTGTCAACTTATGTCTGAGGGTGACGGGCGCAGTGGCAGCGCCCCTAAGATCTTTGCAATTTATGGCTCTGAGTGGTAATGTAGCTGTTATGGACAGGCGTGTAGCTAGTTGGTCGAGTATTACTTATTTGATAGTAATTGTTTCGGACGAATGTCGGACGAGACCCCCCCTAGACCTAGACCCCCCTGCATAACGTTCGTTCCTACAGCGAGCCAAGAAGTTGAAAGAAGTGGAACGCGAACTGCTCGAGACGCAAGCGCAAGAGAGCGAGCTAGCGCGGCGGAAGCAGATGACCGAGGTCACAAAAACCGTCTTCCACATCTACTTCCGGCTGCTGAAGACCGCGCCGCGCTCAAAGTTGTTGGCTGTAGCACTCGAAGGCATCGCCAAGTACGTCACCTTTCTTATTTGTTAATATTTTTATTAACCAAAAGGAAAAATTTAATAAAACTTAGTTTTAATTTTATAAAACAGCGGGTTCGAAAAACCCAGTAACATTAATTATATATAATAATAATAATAACTCACACACTCATAGTCCCGCACTAGGGGAACCCTGTATCGCGGGTGCCATTGATTCACACATTAACAACCACAAATTACACCTAAACTGATGAGAGAAATGAATGTAGGCCGTACAAATGTTTCTCTCGGCATCTGGAGAAACATTTGTACGGCCCGGTACCTGGGACCTCTGCGTGGCAATCCAGTATGGTAACCGCTTGGTCACTTACTGAGGCAGTTAATTTAACTAAATTACAATAACTTCATCATCAACCCATTTATACGTCCCACTGCTGGGCACGGGTCTCCTTTCAGACGAGGGTTTTAGGCCATAGTCCGCCACACTGGCCCAATGCGGGTTGGGGACTTCACACTTTTCCGAGGGTTGAACCTTGAGGGGTGAACCTTCTTCGACGTACAGGTTTAATCACGATGTTTTCCTTCGCCGAAAAGCTCATGGTAAATTTCAAATTAAATTGCGCACATAAATTCCGAGAAACTCAGAGGTGCCCGGATTCGAACCCACGACCCTCTACTTGAGAGGCAGTAGGTCAAACCATTAGGCTACCACGGCTTTTTTTTATAATAACGTGGTGGTGGTAAATTATAATAACTAAAGAATAACGTGGACATTCCCTTCTATAAATCCCGAGACTTCTCAGAACTGATTTATTTGAATATGTGTATTATTTATTGACATTTGTGTACATCGGCGACAAATTATTATTTCATTTCGGAGGTTCTATTTGAGCATTTGCTATAAATTATTGTCTAAAAAAAAATATTGTAGTTGTGTTTCTATACGTAATAAACATGAGACAACCTGAATTATGGAATGACAAACAGGAAATAAGAAATTTTATACACACTAATGACTTAATTGCAATGTCTATACTAAGAATACGTTCATCAGTACATAATTACTCGTATTGTATGTTTGGATCATCGACCAGAAATGTCATTTATTGATGACAAATGCGCTCCAATTGGCCAGCCCGAATTCGAAACAATTCACTATTTTAACTTGAGCTTTGTTATAATTGACGAAAATTGAAAAATTACATATTTAATTACCGAGTTTGTTTTGTAATTAGATGTTTTGCTGTTTTTCTCACACCACCATTGTTAATTATATTTATTACAATAAATACAGAATATTTTTGGAATATACGGAGACGTACACACAGGTCAGTTGTTGGGGCTCTACTATTTCAGTTTTCTAATTTGTTATTTCAGCGCAAATGAGAGTTGGTATTTAAAAGTGATATAAGGCCAATTTGCCAGATGAGTTGCCAGGGATGGATGGCACTTATTTCGTCTCTATTCTGGTTATATATTCGATGATTTGGATGCTATTTTCGTGTCTTCAAAAATTAGGTATTGGTCATATATGATTACTATAATACATATAAAATGAATTTGGCTAATTAAGGCTATCAGCGCAAAATTGGTGTGATCCACATAAATTTGTTTTTTCTGCAATTTTTAAATAATACTAAAATACATAATTATTTATATTTGGATACTACTTGCATGCATAAAAAATAATTATCTTCATATGTACGAGCATATTATTATGCCAAATCTTAAATTCATCATCAAAAAAACATCATGTGGAACGAGAACGTGTTTGTTGTGCAGGTTCACGCACGTGATCAACCTGGAGTACTACTCGGACTTGGTATCGATCCTGGGACGTCTACTTACTGACGATGCGGTGGGCGGGCGAGAACGGCTGCTGATCGTGCGCGCTGTGCTGGCCGTGCTGGCCGGCGCCGGCGACGCTCTCAACGTCGACCCGGCCGGATTCCACGCGTACCTTTATGCCCACGCGCTGGACGCACATGCTGGTAAGTTACTTTTTTTATTAAATGGACTTGCTCTTGACCGCTATCTAGCTCTGGAGCAAATATAGGATATACGATGGAACAAGTCAGAATCAAAGTATTTACTGCTTCCACGTGTTACACAGAACTTAAAATTTAAATATTACCAACATGACCCTGTTAGGGCGCCACAATTAAATGAATAATAAATTAAAAATAAACAATAAGAACGTAAAACTAATAAATAAAAAAACTAGCACTAGCAATTGTCTAGGTATTGATTATTCTTCATATTCTCCAAATTATATTCATTGTTCTTCAAAAACCTCTTGTAATAACATTTTTTTATCAGATGTGCTTTAATCGTTTTGGTAAACAAATTAGTCTGTGATTGGCAAGAAATTACCTTTGGGATTCCATTGAAGATTTTTATTGCCATTACAAAGATGTTAACTGTCGCACCTTAAAAATACCCGGGTCGTATGAGTTCGGAAACATAGTCGCAGGCAGGGAGCTCCATACCTGGGCTATGCGCATAATAAAAGATGATGAAAAGCGCTTAGTACGCCAAATAATTATGATATCTCGCCGTACGTCTGGATGTCCGATGGTAAAAGGGGGCGGGCGGGATGAGATGATGGAGCTCATGGGCACACTCACCGAAATATATTCTGTATAGTCTGTTTCAATCCATTTTGTACGAAAAGTAAACAAACCTATTTGGTTAAAATTCTAAAGCAATCACTTAATAAATCGAGTAAGTAACACTTTCACGGATATTTCTAAGATTTCGACTTGATATATCATCACTTTTTCCAACAATATTCAGTTGAACAGCGTCGTAAAATCGTATTTGAAAAATGGTAGTCCAAAAGTGAGGTTATTATTCATCTATACTTCTATGTTTTGCCTATGGTTGCGTATTGCTGTTCGAAAAAAACATTCGGAATTTTTTTGTTTGGTACGTTTAGTAATCGATTATTACATCGAACATTTCAGTCGCAATCGAACGAGTATCTAAGTGTAAGGATTTGAAAGTGTAAAAGGCGCCAAAGTTAAGGATTACTTTCGTTGAATAGCGATATTAAGTCGATAACACCTTGCTTTTGTAATTTTTTGACTTTATTGAATGTCACGATGGTTTTCAATTATTTTTATGTGAAATTACTCCACTAGTTTGTTATAATTATTAATGCAAATATCGAACACAGAAAAAATTCCATTCGGCTGTATTCGAACCAGCGTCTTTCAGCAAACCGTGTCAGACCTTGTTTTCTATTTATCAATACAATTTTAGAATTGGTTCTGTCACAAAAATATGAGAAAACCTTTATTTCCCTGTCAAAACTTTTGTAGCCAGGTCAACGAAAAGTTGAAATACGCCTACCCTTAAGGAAACATGCCCGGGTTTCTCTTTATTTAAAAATAAAGGGACAATAATATTTCAAATCAATGGTATATTTCCACCAAAATTCTATAAATCGATAACAAAGAACATAGAAATAGATAGATAGATAGAATACGTTTATTGACTTCCCACAAGTGCCAACAATAATATGAAACAACAAGTAAAAAAAGTATAAAATCAAATAAATGTACATAATAAACAACATATATCCGCTAATTAATTAAAAGCAAGTTGTGAGTGCTGCAGCAAGTCAAACTCAGAAACTCAGCCATTGCCGACCATAGAATACCACTTGCAGCTATGTAAATAGCATTGTGGCAGCCACAAAAGCAGTTTCAACGGTATAAGCTAGTCTTTTCTACCTACTTGCTCCTCAATTAAATGGAATACCCATACTGTTAAACCAGAAACGTAAACACGAGCTTTGTGGTACCTCCGAATTTGACTTATCAAACTTGACCTTGTTCCAGGCGCAACACATGAAGATGCAAAGATAATACTAGAAGCAGTGTCTCAGCTGACGCACCGCGCTAGACGCGTGTCGCCGGCGGTACTGCAGGCGTTCGCCAAGCGGCTCGCCACCCTGGCGCTGCAGCTGCACCACAACGGGGCCCTCGGCTGCCTCGCGCTATTGCATCAGCTTGCACAGGTCCGCACACCCTACATGATTCTCCCTACAAACACGTCCCACTCCATCATTCCCCTACTAATGAGAACGTACTAAAACAATCACACCCACAGAACAATAAGTACTGTAGGAGTGCTTAGTTTGCGTAACACGTGCGCCAACAGTGCGCAAAGTTCAGCAAACTTGAGGCGAGGTAATTTTTGCTTTGTACGTTATGGTCCTGTCAATTAACTCGCGCAAAACCTCGAAAATCCTAGAAAAATGCCTTATTTTCGCTACTTTAAGAGTTTAAAAATAATAGTCGCACAAAAAAATTAATGATTGTCAATTATTTCATTTAATTTTAATCAATGTTCAATTTTCTGTTTATCGTTTTGTTACGAGAAACGAAAGTGAACTTTACTCCGCTGCAATATGGTAGCTTTTAACATTAATGCCGTTATTTTCGCTGTTTCTTGACAGCAGTACTTCAGGGTGGCACTGCAACTGCTATGGACAGGCGTGTCGCTTACCACCAGGCGCACGACTTGTTCGTCCCGTCACTTAGTATTACGAATTTTAAGAACTTGAGAAGTCCCATCTGCCTGTAATTTCACCAGCACCCCAACCCTGCATAACAGGAACGCATGGACACAGGAATGCAGCATGACTGAACTTTGTGAAGTTAGGATCTATGGCATCCATGATGATTTCCTGTTTGCCACGAAAAAAATCCAGTTGTTACAATCGTTGTCTAAAGTGCTTCGGTTCTACAGCACAGTAAACACGTCTCACAAATGCTGGAGACCGATATGGACGTGGGCTCGGGCCGTTTCGACCCGACATCGCCGTCGCCGGAGCACTGCAATGCGCACGCGGCTTCCTTGCACGAGCTCACCGCCCTCGCGACACACTACCACCCCACCGTGCGCGAGGTCGCCCAGTCTCTCATGGAACGACGACCGCTCACTCAACTTGGCAAGCTGTAAGTAATATTAATTTTCACTTCTCTATGCTCTAGTCATTGACCTACCAACAAATGGACATCGGGTCTAATACAAAAACCACGAAAAAAATGTCCGAGGTTAACCTATACAAACGTAGTGACATGTAACGAAATATAAAAAACTAAAACATTTAATTTAAATTTTAAGGTTTGTTTGAAACAACAAATATACGCGATTTAAATCCGGAAAAATAGTTTCATTTCCTATGTGTAACAATCGCGAAAACCTAAGAACTCGATATTTAATTTAAATTGTAACGCCATTGCATTACTGCCTAAATTTGCTTCCAACAATTTAAGGGCTCAAAAACACCATATTCAGCTTCTACTGGAAATTACTTGAACACAAGAGTAATGGAGTAGCCTTTCTCGTAAATATTAATTAGTTTTTATATATTTTATTATGTTGAATTTTGTACAAAATCACTTGAAGATAAAGAGTTAGGCGGATACATACAAATATTACTACAAATGTTAAAATAAGCGAGTACTATAAGAAATGTACCGATATTTCAACTAAACGTAAACACAAATATCCGTAATTCCGAAAAACGCTTTATAATAAAACCAATACGCTTTTGAGTAATTTTGATGCTTTTTACATAGACAAAATTAGCTTTTGTTTTGTAATCTTCGTAAAAACACATTATGAAACTTCGAGCTAATGTTATTTCGGGCAAATGTATTTTTACTGACTTCTGATATGTAATCCCATTCAGTAAAACGAGTACAACATTTTGTTAGTTATTCTAACGTTTAATAAAAAAATCATTTTAAAAATAGGATTAAAAATAGGATTAAAAATAAAGCAAATCTACAGTTTCTTTGCTCTAAATATTTCAATCGCTTGTGGTTCGAACAATTGAAAATGACCAAGAAGTTTATATAAACTTGTTGAAACTCACATAATGGGTCTCTTTCCATCTTTTGCGCATGCAATGAGTAGAAAAAGGACAGTTAGCTATTTCATTATTTCGTGTGCTTTTGTAATTGATATTTACGATTCGAATAACACTTTTAAATGACAACTATGATAACACAATATATTTCTTTAGTAAAAATATGATACAAAATCCTGTTTTCACACTTCACTGCAGTAATTTTTACAAGTTATTATTATTGGTACTGCATGGTTAACAACCGCACTGTCAGGGCGCATTCCCACTCACGTTTTATTATCGTTGGACGACTATCGTGTCTAGCCTGTTCCCATATCACGACTATCTGTCGTGGACGATTTTTTATCGTTGAACGACTGTCGTAACTAGCTGTTCCCACTAGATCGTGACGACAATAGGAGCTGCGACAATCTGTCGTCACGTTTTTATTGTGACTTTTTTTATCATCCGACGACTGTCGTTCTAATTGTTCCCACTGTGACGACAGTTTGTCGTTGTAACGATAAAAAATCGTGAACGACAGTTAATCGTGTCGCGCTGTATGTGAACAACTTCATATAAATATACAAGCCACGACACTGTAAACTGCGCAACAATCTGTCGTCACGACATAGTGGGAACGTGCTCTTAGTCGAACAAACGAAGACTGTTGCGCGATTGACGCTCTGTATGCGATTTTAACGCCCTACAGGTGCGGACACTTTTTAGCGCGAACCCGACGTCCATTTATTGGTAGGTCAATGGCTCTAGTACATAAAATAAAAAAACATCACATTAAATAGGTATGTCTAATTGTTGTAATTTTACATTCAATTTTAATTAAATATTCGTTTATTTGTAATAATGCTGTTCAATTTCCTCGCAATCGAAGTGAAAAGCAGAGTGTATAACTCGCTCATAAAACCCATTTTAACATCGACTTAAGTATCCAACCTCGCCTGCGGCTCGGGCGAAATTTCACTATTTGAATTTTTCGGAAAATTATCCAACAGTGCACGACATATTCGCGCGGCGCCTGACAGAGATAGCAGATGCACTGTCTTCTGATAGCATGTTTCGGTTATGGGCCACTCTATTGCTGAAGCTTATCGGCAACAAAGTGAATCACTAATTAATTGTAGCTAATAATCATATTTTTTATAAAATATGAATAAAAGTGTAAAGAGTAATAATAATACAATGTATTTTTATCTTTCTAAATTGCTTTAGCTAGATCTCTTCTAAATACTCCTTTTGGTAGGAGAACGAAGACAATATACCAGTGATATGAAAACAAAATAAAACTTAAATAAAATTCTTGAACTAAATAGCAGACTCCTTCAGTCTTATTAACCATTGGATAATTTATGTACCTACATAAATTATAATCTCTCCATAAAATGAGCAATTGTAATATTTCCTTGCATTAATTGGACGTAGTTAAGGTAAATGGGGTCCAATCACAAAATTATCAAAAAATAAGTTAGGTATATGTATCAAATGGTTCCTAAAGTCTAAACTCTTAGATCAGCGAAAATAATATAAATAAATGTCTCTGGAGTTACATGACATTATATAAGTTTTGAAAACAAAACTTTCTTGTACGAACTCGTCTCTTTTTATGTATTTAATTTTCCTCTGGTTCGTTATCATTAATTAATTTCCTTTTTCTGCAGAACTCCACTACAGATCTTCGAACAATATGACGGATCTCAAATGGCGTTCAAACCTTCCGTGCCCACGCTTAAACGCGACAAACCGCCTAACAGCAAAGTGCAGTCGCACACGTGGACCCAGTTGTCACTTAAGGAATACTGTGAATGTGTTGAAAGTAACTTATCAATGGTCATCACTAACAGTTAGTGAAATAAAATTATGAAGATTTATATTGGCTTTTTTCTTAACTCCTGTTCTTTACAACAATTAAACAATTAAATGAAATGAAAACAAAGTTTTGTAACCGAAAAACTTCATGCAGTCGTTGCCTTAATTGCATGATGTTAATAACGACTTCACACATTAACTGCGTGCAGTCCAAACTCAACTGCATGCAGTTGAGACTTCAGGCGTCGATGTGAACCTGTGATATTTTTTTGCATATAACCCACGCCTATAACAGCGGGAACCTCTACTCTCGGAGTTGTTGACGAGTATGTCTCCTCGGACAAACCGTCCAATTAGGTAGGGCCAACTTCGAGAAAGAGGTCAATCGTCGAATCCGACTTGGTTGGGCAGCTTTCGGGAAGTTCCGGGGCGTCTTCTCGTCCGCAATCCTTGAAGACAAAAGTCTTCGAGCAGTGCGTGTTGCCAGCGACCTACGGCTCTAAGAGTCGTATTCCAGAACTCTACTCAATGCTCAAGTCAGGATTTGAGTATGATTTAACGCACTAGAAATCATACTCAAGTCCTTGCCATTAGGGTCGTATTTCCAGTGCTTGAAATCATACTCAAGTCTGCTCAAATCCTGACTTGAGCATTGAGTAGAGTTCTGGAATACGACCCTTAGACGTGGTCACTTACTATGCTGCCCTGCTAAGCCGAAAGGCGCTATCTCTGAGTTACGCCTTTTTAGTTTTTTTTATGCCATTCAATAGCTATAAAAATTTCGCATCTAATGGTATAATAGAAATAGCGCTATCTAACTTAAAACATTTAAAAAACCACTAAGAAGTATTTTTAAATACAATACAATTACATAAAATGCAATTTACAAAAAGTCGATTTTCTCAAAACTTACTCCGATTGAGATAGCGCTTTTCGGCTTATCAGGGCAGTATGGGCCTCATGAAAAACGACGTCAAAATCACCCAACGAGCTATGAAGCGAGCAATGCTCGGCATTTCTCGTGATTGAATCAGAAATGAGGAGATCGTAGAAGAACGAAAGTAACCGACATAGCTCGAATGATTAGCAAGTTGAAATGGCAGTGGGCAGGGCACATAGCTCGTAGAACTGACGGCCGTTGGGGCAGAAAGGTTCTTGAATGGAGACCACGAACCGGAAGGCGTTCAGTGGGACGGCCCCCTACTAGATGGACGGATGACCTGGTAAGGACGGCGGCTAACCGATGGATGCACATTTTTTAGTAGTAATATTACTATCGAGTTGTTAGGTTTTCGCGATTGTTACACATAGGTTGACTAGTTGAGTCAACCATGACCATGGGACCTGTAAAGGGTTTGTTTGAAAAAACAAATATACGCGATTTAAATCCGGAAAACTAGTTTCATAAGTTATTTAGTCGTTTCCTGAGTAATATTACTATTTTTTTTTCTTCTAACATATCGTTTAATTTATCAAAGTGGCATTCTAATGCAGAATTTGTTTTCGTCTTAATTTCGGGTACAGTCATGGACTTACAAATATAGTACATAAAATTGACCTTCTCTATAGCAACATAACAATAGTGGATATTCACGTGTTGCAAGCTTTCCTTTTTGGTCCTTACAGTGCCAAAAGTAGACTAACCCGATGTATACAATATGAGAACTAAAGTTATTTTGTGACCACATACTCAATAAAACTCATAAACGTTATGAACAAACCGTTTATTGCAATATGTACATATTAACTATATAAATTACTCTTACAATACAAATCATCTTTCATTGTTGCTATTAGGTGACAATTGTTAACACCATAGATCAACAAAACAAATGTTGTGCATCATATTTTAATACATTATTAAACATTTGTCGTCATCGAAATTTGAGTACACTAAAAGTAGAAGTCCTTGTGAAGGGTTCATCCAGGGAAGCACTGCCGCCAAGCAGTAATGCTCACATTACTGCAATCCGGTTTTAAAGGGTTAAAGGTGCTGTTGATATTACAGGCACATGAGACTTGTGTACTTGTGTCTCAAGGTGCTGGGTGCAGTGGCAGTGCCCCTCAGATCTTTGTGATTTATGGCTCTGAGTGGTACTGCAACTGTTATGGACAGGCGTGTCACTTACCACCAGGTGGGCGACTTGTACTTCCCGCCACTTTGTCTGTTGTTCAACAGCTGACCGACACTGATTCCACAACCATTCCACTGGTAAATAGAGATCATTTCTGGCCAACAGATACTATTTTAATTATAGCTTTTTTTCTATAATAATTATTGTTTCTTCTGCGTTAACTTCTTTTCCATATTTCCATTTGTAGATCGAAACAATTTTGAGAGCAAACTTAATAAAAGTATAACAACATCAAAATACCATCAGTGTTTATAACCAAATTGGTATAATTAAACACTTGCCGATGCTCTGTCTGTCACTGGGAAATTCTTCTTAATACAAATTGACTGAATGAGGAATGTATTTTTGAACTCTTTTTTCGTTAATCTAACCGTGTCATTGGACACCATAAACAATCGCAAAACTCACACAATGACAACAATAATATTATTTTTAAATACTTTGCACAACTAATACATACTGTGTATAGCCAAAGGATTATTCACCTATTCTAGCAAATTCAAGTTCAGTATAGAGTTCATTTGCAGAAAAAACACTAAAAGTTCTCACTGTACACAACATATTTAAAGAATAGTTGATAATTAGGTTCCCATAAATACTATGTAAGATATTTCTTGCCCAGAAACTGAACCTTCTTTTCAAATGCTGGTAGAGTGATCAATGTGTCTTCTTTATAGAAGGGGTTCAGCATAAGTTTTATATACGCCTCGTAGACATCCGTAAAGAAGTTTTTAATGCCATCTTCATTACGTGAATCATGCACCATTATGAAACGCATCTGAAAGAACACAGTATAGTTAATGCAAGTGTATTGTACACACATTGAAGAAATTACTTACATTCATGTACCATTTTAAATTTTTATGTTACATTATATCTCTTAACAATCGAGCATGGTTATGTACTTGATGCTCTTAACTCAGCATATCTGAGTCTATCAATTACTAAAAAATTTAAAGGTAAAAGTTTGATTTTTCTCAAGCATATCTACTTTGTTTTCTTTAAGAATTGAGACAAATAAAAATACGAAATGTAACTTGCAGCAAAAAGCTACTCTTCAGGTAACAAGACATACTTGTTGACTCAAAAGCTCTGACAACACTGTATACAATACACCACTCTCTGTGTCCGCATAAGCTGCACTTACTCTGGTGGTCTTATGGTGGTTATTACAGGGCATGATATTGAGATGTGGAAGTGGACTGACCACATGTACAGGGAAAAAATAGAAAAGTGGACCAGAAAGGTAACAGAATGGTTACCAAAACAAAACACGAAGAGAAAAAGAGGTCGTCCCTTTAAAAATTTTGTCCGACGACTTTAAAAAAATAGCTGGAGCTCTACGGACTAGGCTAACAAGGGACAGACCCAGATGGATAGAGCTGGGGAGACCTATGCGTCTTCAGGGTGTGCTGATGTTATAGTTTAAGTAATTCATGAATATAATTGAATGTCAGTATAGTATAGGTTAATAAATAAATAAAAAAATTGAGATGTTTTAAGTGGAACATGTGCACTCAAGCCACTGGATGTGCTTAAATAGATCTAGGCTAAAGCACACAGCTAAAGTGTCAATTTGGTAACAAATTTGAAAAATGTATATCATTACATTCCAGAAGGTTGATATAGATTATTCTTTGTTTCTGTATACATTGGAATACAAATTGAATCTGGTGATGTGGACGGGGCGTTCTAGTTTGTATGAACTGCGGGCCCGTCCTGGCTCGGACACAGACTTGTTTGAATGAGTTCATACAAAATATACACAACAATATTTTTTTGAGCCCCTGACGGAGCACTGCCCGTCCACAGCCTGGATATGTGTCGATAGACCTTTACTATTATAAGTTCATTAAGGAGTCATCACACCTATGGATGTAGAACCAGCACGAGCCGATCAGAAAATACCGATGTGGCAATTTGAATTTTACCAATACTAATAATTCGGCGAATCGTTTGATAAGTCAAATCAAGCCATTTGCCTAAATTGAATATAAGCACAGTCATTGCTAATGGAATCAATGTAAATGAAATATTTAAGGAAAGCCCGCTCTATAGATGTATATTAATTTGTAATGAAATACCGGATTCCCTTAAGACAGACGAAAATGACAACACATTTAAAACCAAATTCGTCCCTTCTGATAAATGCGTGCTACTATAGTTTGTAGAGACTTCATGGACTCTCCTATAAGATCATGTGAAAGAAGTGATGAACACTTCAACCCTTTCATAACATGTGTCTATTTTAAGAATGTTTAGTTTATGTACTGTTTTTGTTAATTATTTGAGAGTACTATTAATTTGCTACACCCCAATGGGATATGTTTGTACTTAGTAATTATCTGATTAATGCCTGTACTAACATTGTTTGCAATAAATAAATACAAAATTATTCATTCCAACGACAGGTTTAATAATTCCTAGTGAGTTGAACCTGGAAATCATACGCAATCACGCATCGCTATTCCATGAAATAAGGTTGAAAAGTCATTGTGTGTATCGCTTTCATTACACAGATATAAAGCCTGAGTTTCCGTGATAGGTGTGGTAACTCCCTTAAAAAACTACTCATTTGTACTCACTTGACTGGCAGTGACAAAAGCTGAAACAAACCACTGGTTGAACTTGTCCACTGACTTGAGGTACGTGTTGGTCACCTTCCACATGTGTTCGTCGACTAGATCGAGCGCAGCGTGCGCTATGAACTGGTTCAGATGTCTGTTATCCTCCTTCTGGAAGCAAAATTGTTGGACATGTAATAAAAAGTTTCAAATGACCAGGAAATGCACGTAACGAACAAGTGGAACAAAAAAATTTACCTTCACTTCTTTCGTGGTTGGTATGAAGTCAATTTCAAATATAGGATTATCGGAGTGGCCCACGATGACGAAATAATAAGTGCCAGCCATTTTTCTACCTAAACAAAGTTCGCATCAACAATAACGCCCATTTATTAGACACGCAGGAAATTAAGCTGTAAAGAAAACAACCTGACGTAAAACCTAACCTTAAAAATATACTGTCTACTGTCAGATTTGCACGAAATATCAAATTGGCGATTGATATTGGGCAGTGCTAGACTATCAATATTTTGACGAGGTCATGTACAGTCAAGAGGACGTCAAGCTGGACACTTTGTACTTTGGTTCGTTCTTATCGTAAACGGCATAGAGTTGGATTTAAATCAAATCTTAAGTATCAAGCTTAACGTGCTCTTGACCCTGCACCAGTATGTTGGATAACAATCCGAGATGACTCATCCATCACGGACTATCATCCAACGTATGATGAGTGACCCTGTAATACAAGTTTCTGCTTAGTTTAAGTACATCTTCGTAAGTACAGGGTCCAGAGCACGTCAAGCTTGACACTTAAGATTTAAATACAACTCTATGGCGCTTATGGCAAGAACCGTCCAAAGTATATTTCAATTTGTGATCGACTCTTGAAAGTCGATAGAATAATAATTATTCTTGCGATAAATATTAATAGCAACGCGAGCATCGATCGTGTTAACAAACAATCACAAAGGGGTGATCGAAAGGAGCCTCCCCGTTATTCCAGCTGTATGGTACGCGCCAATTCAATGCTCAACTAGAAAAAAAACCGATTTTAATAACCGTTTTTTTAGTAACTAAATTGAGGTATTTAATCGGTTATGGCGCAACACTAACGCAAAGTCGATTTTCTGAGGGGCTGTCGTAAATTGTAAAATATATCGAAAATTCTGTTAAAATATGCTATCACGGGTAGCTTTGCGTTCAGGTACGTGTAATTAGCTTAATTATTTTATGTACATTCCCTATTTACCATTAATAATTGGACATAACCTTGATGTTTTAAAGGTTTATGTAATCACCTTGTCAGGGTGCTGAACATGTATTTTCCGGCGATTTTTTCTTTTAATTTCACGAATATAGGGCGAGGAACTGCACAAAATTGTCTTTGTAAGCCTTGAGAAGTAACAAAGTTTGCGAAGTCAGTGCATTTTTATATAAGTAACCTACAAAATAAATTCTTTACAAGGGTGGAGCTGTATATAAATAAGAGTTATTATGTAATGTTTACAAAAACTTTGGGGTGTCCATTTAAAGTAATTATTTCATATTTGGCTCTATGCTCTCTTAACCATACAAGTTGGTACATACTTGAAATAATGTCTTGAAGAAGTTTACTCTGGTATGAAGGGTTAATTGTATCAAGTCTCCCATCCACATTGTATTAACATGTACTCTGTCTGAAAAGCGATATTTCTATCTGTTTTGTGAACGAATTTTTGTGAATATACTGTAAGAAAGCTTTAACAGTTTATGTTATATTGCACTGCTTCAGTTGCGGCACGACAGTTGGCCTCCACAGCACTGGTGGCTCGTGGCTCTGCCACAGACACGTCACTACGTGATGAAAAGAACTTCCCTAGACCAGTGCGTGGAGAACCTGGCAAAGTCCGACTTGGTTTTATTCCTGAAGAATGGTATGAACACTTTTTCATTCCAGTATAGACAAGTCTCTCATTACGTCAATGCAGAAAGAGCGAAAGCACTTTCAAAGTGAAAAATTTTTCAGGCAAACATGTTTTAGGTTTTAATTGGTGTTTTAAAATATTTACATCCGGTTTTAAAGCTCAGTTATGGTTTTAATTGCGTTTTAAAATTGAATTTCAAACGGTTGTTACACACAAAAACATGCTCCCCTGCAAAATTTTTCAAAATGGCGCTTTTGCCTTTTATACAAAACACTGACGATTAGGACTGATAAAATATGTAAATTGTTTTCTCTTGTTTGTGTCCAACCTTCTAAAGCAATCACCAAACTGTGCTGTTTGTGACTTAAAAGAGGACGTATATCATATACTGATGGAGTGTGGACGAAACGAGTCATTTAGATTTGATGTAGCTGCTATGTGTGACCAGTTTAGACAAGTTGGCGGATGCAACAGCGTCTTGGCCTTTCCCCTATCAAGGGAAGCCAAGATGCTATATAGATTGGTGGAGAGAGGCTTGAAGTTAAGGCAATTATAAGCTGCTTCAATTCTCTCTTTACTTTATAATATAAATATATGTATAGAGCGGCGTAGTCGCTTATTGTGACAAAGCTCTTTAAATAAAGAAAAAAAAATAAAAAACCTAAAGCCACATTGATTGTATTATGATACCTGTACTCTGTCTGATTTTAAAGATATTCCAAGTGTATACAATATTTGGTAGAATAATCGGATGCATTCAAATGTATTACACCAACATTTTGTTATTTCTTTCTCAGATCCCAAATTCCTGCTCCTTGACAGTTAGTATTGAAGTATGAAAATGTGATCTATTTATGAATCAGCTGTTGTCATTCTTATAATTGTCTAGTTATATTACTACATTTCATGTAGTTTCTAGACTTCATTAATGAATACTTAAAATGACAATCCTGCTAATGTTACCTTTTAATTGGAGTAGTTCATGTAGTGGGGGATATACATTGTAATGAATTAGGACACCATAGGGTGTTTCTATAAAATTTTGCAGTATTAAATAGAAAACCACTGTGAGACTCAGATATGTTAACTAAGTTCTACATGTTTCGAGTCAGTCCGTAGTCTTCATGAAATGCGCCACAGCCCTGACAGCCCGATCACTCAGTACGGCTGTGGGCGCAGGCGGCGTCGGCGGCGTCGTCGAGCAACTACCCTCGTTTGCTTCGTTTTTATTAAAGTCACACGCAGGATTGCTGCATGAATAGGGACCACAGACTGGTTTGAAACATGTTGAGCAAAAATTCGACATAAATACGCGAGTTATCTGATAGTTTAGTTAATGTAGCAGTAACATTATAGAACTAAACATTTTGTGGACAGGGTGACGGCAAACTAATAACAATCCACTTCCACAGGTTCCAACTATTCCACCCCAAAACTGGAGTGACTGGCCCATACACATTTGGGGTGGGTCTGGCCACATACCTGTTCAGCAAGGAGATATACATAATGGAGCACGAGTACTACGCCGGCCTCTCGATTCTCGTCATGGTGTATTTTGCCACTACGAAGTTTGGGCCCGGCATTTCCAAATGGTTGGATAAGGAAGTTGATGTAAGGACTTTTATTGCTATATTTTACACAGCACTTTCTTATGTCTGAAGTAAATGACCTATCTCAAGTCTTCTTTTAAATGGCACCAGAATAGTGTAAGAATGTGTTGTGTTTGTATATCAGTCAGTATATTTATTCCTGACAGCAGTAAAAATGACAATAAATGCAGTCTTAACAAGGAAAAAACTTATAGAAATATTATTTAAACAGCAAGTCGAGAAGGACTGGAATGAGGGCCGTGAGAATACCATCAAAAGCCTGGAGGAGGCAATCAAGGAAGAGAAAACATCCCAGTGGCGCGCTGAGGGCCAAGAATTGCTGATCCAAGCTAAAAAGGAGAATGTTCTCTTTCAACTTGAGGCTGCTTACAGAGAACGTCTCATGAATGTTTACACAGAGGTATATCCATTGAATACAATACAACTTGATGCTTTAACAAATTAATACTCATATGTTAGTGATAGAAATACTTAAATTGTTATTGTGAAATTTCAACTGTTTTCAATTTCAACTGACCTAATTCGTACAGGTTAAGCGGCGCCTGGATTATCAGCTCGAGAAGGCGACAGTCGAACGTCGCCTCGCTCAGAAGCACATGGTGGATTGGATCGTGAACAATGTGAAGAAGTCCATCACGCCAAAGCAGGAGAAGAAGACCCTAGACCGCTGCATCGCGGACTTGGCTGCGCTCGCCGCCAGGAAGTGAACATAGACGCAATAGTAGTTATTTATGATATCATGTGGTTATGTAATAAAGTGAACAAGTGAGAGTTTATTGTCGTTTAATTTTTAATCTTGAAGTCGTCAAAAACAGCAAATGAGAGCTTTCCTAAAAAAAAAACATAATTTCACTTAGCAACTACAATTAAATTTCAACTAATAAAATGCATTGATATTAAAATTTAGCTTGCAATGCAACGACGTGCCGGAATCTAGCGTGAAAATTGACTAGTACGGTAAAAATCTAGTCAGGTTTAGGCGCAAAAATAACAAATAACAATCTATTTAGTTGCACTGATGTTCTGAATTTGTGTTTTACAATCTACTCTGGAATAAGCTTATTCCAATGGCACCATTTTTCAATCTCGAGAACCACATCCAGCTTAGATCTGATTGCACTGAAAGTGCAAATTACGTCGGTTCTAATAAAAAAAATAATTCACACTAGAGAAACCCTGCGTCTCGGGTGCACACATACATAGACAATCACACATTACACCCAAACTCACGAGAGAAATAAATGTAGGCGTTACAAATATTGAACCTGGGACCTCTGCGTGGCAGTCCGCATTGGTAACCGTTCGGCCACGCGGAGGCAGTCGGGCATTCTATAGCGTGAGCGTTGTTGATGGAGGACTATCTCCGTCATCAACAATGCATTTAGTATCCGCACTGTAGGCAATAATTTTGCACTACTTATATCGAAGCACAATCAGTTTTGTTTGCCTCGTACCTTTTGGACAATGCTGTGCGTACATTTCAGACGCGTGTATATTCGCTATGCGGCAGATGATTGATCCTATATATTTCGCTGTTGCAAGCATTTTTTTTCGAGGTCTTAGGTTTTCGCAATTACCAACTGCTCTCGCAATAACTGTCACACAAAAAAAATAAAAATCACAAATGTATTTGTTTTTTTTTTCAAACATTTCTCGGTACTCTTCATAAGTCCCATGGTCTCCGAATCTGCACTCATTGAAATCCCATAGATACATTTACTACGCAATTTACATGTCGAAAAAATTTCAAGGGTAAATAACTGTAACAACAGTTACGATAATGATAAATACTATCTCAGTAAAAAATACATCAGTTTGGAATTTTTTATTGCAGCTATTAAAGAATATGTACATTATAACTAGATATATTAGTGTTTAGAACTGGCAGTTTCCTTCTCTTTAGTAGGTGTGATGGAAGTATCTCGGCCCACATATTTGTTTCCCTGAAGGTCTATAGCGTAATTGTAATCCTGGATATTGCCTAGGGCACGGTCTATGGCTTCATCCAGGGTCTCTGGAGTGATGAATGTAGCACTCAGCTCCTGTAAAGTGTACATTTCATTAGTGGTGATAACAATGGAGTCTACATCTTGATTACCAGGTCCCTCGTGATGTTTTAATGGTTGTTCTATTCACATAGTGAGCATTGGATATTTTGTTAAGAATATATGTATACGTACACATTCTTGAAAGTGCTCTGAAGTTGTTGCCTAATTTCACAAGTTATTGTTAAGTTTTATGGAACGGCCAGCTTTACCTTTTCTCGTCGAATAGCCTCTGAGGCCCTGGCAATTTTTTCGCGAAGCTCCTTGTCTTTGGTTTCCATGCGCTTCAGTGTGTACTCCTCCATCTCGGCGAGCTCGCGGCGCCGACGCTCGTCCCGCTCTGCTGCCAACTGTACACACATACAAATAACTTACGATCATTGGAACAAAAACTGGTAAGTCACATTTTGACTTGTTCATGTTTTTTAATGCCAAATGGTCGGCGGCCTTTACTTAATTGAAAGTTAGTTTTGAGTTTTGTCGCAAGTACCCACTGCGACAAAACTCAAAACTGAGAAAATAATGTTTAAAGAAATTAAATTAAAAAACATTTACTTTTCTCTTGTACCTTACCAGAAAATAAAAGTAGTGACAGATTGGCCTTTTTTTAGTGTTCACGGCAGTAATAGCATCTTTTTTAAATGTCACCTTTAAACTTTTGTAATTGAATAACAACCACTAAATCTTTATTATAATTATGATTCAAACGCGTGGAGCATTACATACAGCATAGGTACTCAGCGGCGCAACTACTCAGACCGATCACGCTGGGAGAGAGACGCGTAAACTTGCGTTAACGCTAAGCATATCCCAGCTTGTCAATGGTGCCACTAGGATACCGGATGTTGAATTTCATTCGGCTAATTGCTTGGACCTTCTGCTGAAACTTGTCACTGATCACTTGATCCGGACCGATACTCTGTGGTTGTAGAGGCCCCACTAGGTATTTCCGACCATTGTCTGGTGAAAACTATATCTGTATACTCCCCACCCGATCAGGGCCCTAGTGGTATGAGACGGGTGTGGCGATACAAGTTAGCAGATTGGGACGAAATGCGCCATTTCTTTGCGTCATATCCCTGGCAGGCGTGCTTTACTTCAGGAGACTCGTCGAGCTGTGCTGATGCTGTAGTCGAGGTCTTGCGTTTGGGTATGGAGTATTACATACCATACTCTTGATGTAACCAATGGACCCCAAGCGCGTCCATGGTTTAACGCTGATTGTAGTTGTGCTGAAGCACATAAACAGTTCGCGTACCAAGCTTGGGCAGATGCTCGACTACGCAAAACTTTTAATAAGGCCGCCAAGAAGTGCAAAAGCATTTTACGTAGGGCCAAGTTCGACCATGTGCGCCGCATAACGGCCAAGCTTGCCTCTTATACAGCAGGCAGTAAATCCTTTTGGTCCCTGGCCAAAGCGGTCGAATCTAACTTGTCGCCCATCTTTGCCACCTCTGCTGAGGCCGGATGGCTCGCTGGCTCATACTGCGGAAGAGAAGGCGAATCTCTTTGCCTCACTCTTTGCAGAAAGTTCCTGTCTAGATGCCGCGGGGACCCTACCACATACTTTACCTCAGGCTGGCTGCACTATGGCGCCAGTTCGCATACGCCAAAAAGAGGTACTTAGAACTCTGCGAAATCTAGACATGAATAAAGCTAGCAGGCCAGATGGAATTCCAGCAATAGTCCTGCGTAACTGTGCGCCTGAGTTGTCTCCTGTTCTCACACGCGTGTACCGCCACTCATTGAGACTGGTGTAGTTCCCAGGCCGTGGAAGCTTGCAAACGTGCAACCTGTGTCTAAAAAGGGAAGCAGAGCTGACTCAGGTAACTATAGACCTCAGATCCTAGATCTCAGTCACTTCCATACTCTGAAGACTATGGAACGTGTACTCAACAACCGTCTCCTATCGTACCTTGAAGACAACGATCTCCTCAGTGATCGCCAGTACGGATTCCGACGAGGGCGATTTGCTGGGGATCTTCTTGTGTATGCCTGTCACACATGGAGCGAGGCTATAGAAAAGCAAGGCGAAGCAGTGTCTTTGGACATGCTTAAGTAAGCTTCCCTCTTATGGGCTTCCCACTGACCTTTGTAATTAGATCTCGGATTTCTTGAGCGAACGTTCGATTCGAGTGGCGATACGGCGATCATTCCTCAGGGTTCCGTATTGTTTGCAACTCTCTTTCTGCTGCATATCAATGATATGTTAATTCCAGGTACCTTTGCGTATGCTGATGACAGCACAATTGTCAGCGAAGAGGAAATCCAGTCTTGTCGAGAGTCCATGGTTAGCCGTTTAGATTTGATACTCCAGGCAGTCTCCGATTGGGGCAATGCCAATCTTGTCAAATTTAACACTACCAAAACGCAGGCGTGTATATTCTCCACAAAACGGAGTCCCTTTGAGCTGACTCCGACTTTTCGTGATATATACATACTGATAGCCAATTGTCTCCAGCTACTTGGAATGGACCTGTCGTCCAATTTGAATTTCGGCAGATAAATTAAATCCGTGGCCAAAAATGCAGCAAGGCAGCTTGGGATCCTTTCCAGGGTGAGGCGTTACTTTACACCGGGACAGTTGCTTCAGCTGTACCAAGTATAAGTCTGATCGCATGGAGTACTGCTGCCACCTTTGGGACGGCTCCGCGACGTATCAACTAGCCACTTTGGATTCAATTGACAAGAGGCTTATAGGTGACTCGGAATTAGTGGAGGCGAAGCTGCAGAGCCTGAACACCGCCGTAAAGTTGCCTGCTTATCGGTATTTTACAGGATAAACCACTGAGAGTGTGCGATGGAATTACACGATTTTCCGCCTTCCCCTTACCATCACTGGGGGACTAGGCATAGGCTTGGGTTCCACCTCTATGTTGTGGATATTCCAAAGATTCGCACGAAGCGTTACGCTTCCACATTTATATGGCGAACGGCTATAGAGTGGTATTCCCTGCATGCAGACTTGTGCCCTGAACATTATAACTTGGACCTTTTCAAGGCGAGAGTGAATAGGCATTATTTAGGTGCGCATGCTCCATCGTCGACCTCATCGTCACTTTCTATCCGGTGAGATGGAGGTCAAATGCGCACCTATATTTTATAAAAAAAAAAACAAAATGGGGCAAATCCATTCAATTAAACTAGATGAAATTTGGGTTCTGTTCTGAAGTCAGTTTTTGTTCTGAATCTGTATTGTACTCTTGCTACAATGTGTATGTGGCAGCATAGTGGTTAGTTTTTTTGACAATAAAGTTATGGCCAAACCTACTTTAAAATAAATTACAAAAAAAAAATTCTAAAACACACATAAAAATTGGATTTTTGGGAGTTATCCCAAGGCCAGAACCACCTCTGCGGTGTCATAGTGTGTGAGGGCAGAGTAGTCACTAGACATGGGGAATAGCATTACATTTCTATTGCCGTGACTATTGTTCCAGTTCCAAAACAATCACAGTGATAAATCATTGTGATTTTGTCACGACTGTTACTTCCGTGACCTTGTCACGCCTATAACTTACATCACGATATACGGTTTTAGCCAGCGGCTTCTTTCATTAGAAAGAAACGGCTATAAGTATTAACTTATAGCCGTTTTTTATAGAATGATTTAAGTTTTTGCTCCGTTTGTAGTAAGTTTCAATTCCATTCAAAAAGTAGATGTTGTATTTAATGTAATTTTGTTTGTTACTTATTTAATGCGAATCTTTGGATTGTTAAAAATAGCAATAAAATGTAATGTAATTGTATTTCTAGTAGAATACACAAAGTAGATTATACATAAATATAAAACACCAACTCTTCCTATAATAAAACAAATATACAAAAATATTTTACTTTGTTCATAAATAGGTTTATAATAACTGCTGCAGATTTTTTCATCCGCCCTTTCTAGTAGTAATAAGCACCTACGACCCTTGTGAGTGAGCAAAGAAAGTTATCCTATTTCATTCACTCCCATCGCCGAAATGGCCCAATTTGAAGAGAACTACAATGAGTGGCGCGCTCAGTCACCACGAAACGGAGATCGCGCATTGTATCAAATACCTATGTCGTGATGTGAGTGAAGGGGATAGTTATTGGAATGGAGGAACATCTATGTGTCTTTGGAACGTCGTTCCTTCGGAATGAGTCACGGTGATACTGTTTGACGGCGGATCATCGTGATTTTTTCATCGTGACGTTATTTCTCACCCACCTCTAGTAGTCACAAACACTGTCAACCATTATAAGCATTCCATAAGAAAATAAACATTTAGTTAATGAAGACATTGTATTTGAAATATTACTGCAGTTAGAATAGAGAACTTTTTAGAAAATAAAACTCATCACTTCAAAATAAAATTAGTGAAATACAAACCTTAGCATTCCATTGATCGTTGAGCTCGACACAGCGCGCCCATTCCTCAGCTTCCAAGCGCTGGGACATCTCCGAACTTGCGCTATCCAATGTTGATTTTTCTTTAATCATATCTTCATAGTAAAACCTCCGGATGGCCCGAATCTGCGTTTTGTAGTTGTTGTTTATCCGCTTCAGCTCCAGTCGCTCTTCTATCGAGATTTCGGGCCTTTTTGGGATTCGATAAATCTTGCTTTTTGCGACGGGCAGCCATCGCGGCTTTCTGTGTGCTTCGGCGCGTTGAATCACTACCGGCCACGTTCTTTTGAGGAACGAGCTACTGGAAATCATATTTTCTATGAGCCCTAGACTATTATTACGGTTACAGAGGCGGTTTTTCGACAACAATATTTCTACAAACACATAACCTCCAAAATGTCCAATGTTTTTACCCCTTTTATTTGGGTAGGCAATGATTTCATACAGCCTCTTCTTAAAAATTCTGTCTTTCCTTGTATTGATGGAGTTTGACTGATATTTCACATTCAATTACTTGTTTTTTCTGTATAATAATGGCTCTTCCCGGATCAAGATTATGGGAAAGAAAATTTTATGATTAATACCACTCCCGTTTTTGCCTTCACGTAACCTGGCTTCAATGGAACAGAGAATTACCTACATAATTACTTTTTGTTATAAAAATATAATATGTCTCTTATATTCATACTAATTGCTTAATTATATCCCATAGTTCTTCGCCGAATGCCTGTTTTACTCTTTCTCGTAATCCTATTTCGAAATTCAATTATTTCTAAATTAGTAAGTGGCTGAAACGCTAACCGCGAAAAGCCAAGAGGAATAAGAAAAAAAAATTAAGTCTTAGTCGCTACGGAAAACGTTAACAAGATGGCAGCAGTAGAGATAGTTACCGGAAAACTCGTTAGATGGCGCTAAGAGTCACCATTTCCGCTGAAATAACACTGGGCGTCTCTCGGTTAAGAGACATGGAGTTAAAGTACTAACTTCAAATAGGTAGGAATTTAGGTAGGATATATTGCTTCTTGGAGATGTAATTTTAATTTTAAAAGTAAGGAGTACTGCATTCAAAATAGGCGCCTTGACGTCTAGTTGCGGATATCAGCCCGTTACACCAAGTACATACTGTATTCAAAGACTTATAGTTGCTTGTATCTGGGAATCGAACTGACCTAATATGGAAAAAAAATCTGCATGTTTACGATAATAATAATAATAATAATTGCGAATAAGCCTGATATTGTGATATTGGATCGATCGCAGTCGAGGGTATTTCTTGTGGACGTCACCATCCCGCATGACGAGGGTCTCGTGAAAGCTGAAACCGAGAAACCGCACGATACGAACCGCAGGAGAACCGCAAAATAATAAACTGCATAAACTTTCTTACTTTTTTATGTATCTGCCAGCTACTACTTGTATAATATGGTATAACACTGTATGAAAATTATGAACAAACTCTATATTGCCAGCGATAAGACGGTACAAAGTCCAAATTGTCAAATATGATGTACTCTAGATTGCACTTATTTCTTAACTCGGAAATCATTTTACCTTAAGTCGAGTGACCGGAGGAGAAGCGGGGAAAACTGTTTTTCTAAATCAAATGTTTCAGGTATTTACTTAAATAACGGTCTTACAAAGAATATATTATACACCTAAAGATTTGTCTAAAGAATGTGCTATTTCGTTACATGGGTTTTTCAAGAAAAGTTTCTTTAAAAACCCTTTATACTCTGTAAATGAATTTATTGAGCTAAAAATGTAACGCTATTGAGTATTTTCTATTTTATTTTTAATGTTACTGCTGATGTCACAAATATAAGCCTTTTATAACAAAAGGGCCATTCACACTGGCCAATGACACTCACTGATGATATTATGAACCGGAAAAAAAAATGCACTAGTAGATTTCACTCAAATGCGGCAGCCCAGAGAAAGAACAATTGCTTCTCCAATGAGAGATCGACGGCCTATGACTTCAGTGTTATGATACCTACTACAAGTCGGAGAAGTTCACAACGCTTGAAGAACACACGTGACCTCAACCGAGGTCCGTGTGCAGCAGTGAAATGAATAATGGATTAATATTGATAAAGAGACTTACCTTTTTTTTTATAATATCAAGTGACGGGACGAGCACGTCGTGCGCCTGATGGTAAGCTACACGCCTGTCCATGACAGTTGCAGTGCCACTCAGAGCTTTAAATCCCATGAGATGTAATCCCATGTGCTTGTAATTTCACCAGCACCCTTACCCTTCAAAACCGGAACACATTCGCATTGACACACTTTTGTATATATATTACATTACATCGTATGTATTTATTATCGACTTTATGACGATCCTTGATGAAGAATGATGACATGTAATTTAATCACAACGATATTATTATTAAAAGTCGATACAGCCTCAAATGGCTTTTGTTGATTGCGTATGACAGTGAAAGTGTCACTTTGGAAAAAATATACACATTAATTGAGCATATACACTGATTAGATCACGGTGAGAAGACACGGTACCTAAAAATTTACATGATAGAAAAAACATAAACTTACCTTGTAATTTTACAAGAAAACCGCCAAAGTCAAAGGCAAAGATTATTTATTCCATAGGTAAAATAAATTTACACTTGAAATCG